TCAGTTCTACATATGTGTACCAAGTTTCAAAATGATCCGCCGGTAAATAAGTTTTTTTTAAGCAAAATGTTCCCATTAAGACGACACGGAGGTGTAGTGCGAAGAGAATTTGCTTCGAATAAAGGCCTCGAATCGAAAAAAAAAACATTATTAAAAGCCCTTTAAATTGAAGAATTTTTATCAAACACGCATTTAAAATTTTTTTATGCCAATATTGGATTCAGCCTTCACAAAAATATTGAGCATCATTCAGAGAAAATCTGGCAATATGATTATGTTTTATTGATATTTAAGAATCGCCCTCTGAGTTCTGACTCATCATAATTTAACTGCAATTTTCAAACAATCGGGAGCATTCGGTCACGTCATCTTTCATAAATGTAATTTATTACAATAATCTCCATTTCGAGACTCAGACAACAACGCTTCCATCGCTGTTAACAATTAAGTGGTACTGCATAGCAACAATAGAGAGCCAGGAATACCTACGGCTCACGCTCTGCCGTGCGATTATAAATGATGGCAACTTTTGTGTCGTTGTTTTTTCTAGCTTTGGTTGATAATCAGTTACTTGTATAGCGAAAACTTGTGCCTTCACGTTGGTGGTCGCAGGAACTGTCAATGAACTTGAAGATTAATGTTCGCATATAGCCATCCCGGCAAGTTTGTTTACTGCTAGCTTCCACGTCCAAGCGTAAACAGCGCTCAGTACTCCTCTCTTTTCTCAAAGAGAAGTTAATGCATTCCGAGGATTCACGGTGCTTGTTTTCTACGCGTTTTCTGATGCCTCTTCACAGTGTCAAATATAGCTATGTATATATAGCTATATTATATATATATTATATAAATATAGCTAAATAAGTTTTGTTAAAGACCAGAGAATTAGTTTTATTTATTAACGTCTTTAACAAAGCTTGTTTAAGAGAAGAAATTCTGCCAGCCTACACTAATATAGCTAAATATATACATATATAGAATATAAGATCAGAGAAGCTGTAATTGAAACGTAATATTCGCTGGACGCGTAAGAGACAAAAAGAAAGTCAGACACTGACTCAGCAGCAGTCTCAGCATCAACATCACTTTTAACTCAATTTTTTTTAAATCACAAACCGCGCATAACCAAGAGATTGAACTGGTAGATTTGAGTGAAATGCTGTATCCGTTAGGGTGCCAACTGCCAGATTTGAGTGAAATGCTATATAATTTTATATAATTTCCTAAAATATTGCTCTCGATTTTTTTCTTTCTATTTCCATTCAGTTTTGGGCACCAATTCACTGAATATTTCAGTTGTCAATATGCCTCACAAGCGATACTACAACAGAAAATGGAATTAATGCTCCCAACACCCGTCCATAAATACAATTTTCAAGTGACAAATACTGAAGAGGTTGCTTACTATAGGTGGACTTATAATGCTAATGAAATTCTGACCAGCGCAACTTTCGTACTCCTTACACCCCACACCCAACTCACCAACAGCTGTAAATACCTCACACCAACTCACCAACAGCTGTAAATACCTCACACCAACTCACCAACAGCTGTAAATACCTCACACCAACTCACCAACAGCTGTAAATACCTCACACCAACTCACCAACAGCTGTAAATACCTCACACCAACTCACCAACAGCTGTAAATACCTCACACCAACTCACCAACAGCTGTAAATNAATATCCTACACGTCCGAATATCCTACACATCCGAATATCCTACACGTCCGAATATCCTACACATCCGAATATCCTACACGGCCGAATATCCTACACGCCCTAATATCCTACACGTCCGAATATCCTACACGTCCGAATATCCTACACATCCAAATATCCTACACGTCCGAATATCCTACACATCCGAATATCCTACAAGTCCAAATATCCTACACGGCCGAATATCCTACACGGCCGAATATCCTACACATCCGCATATCCTTTGACATCAAGATATCCTAGATGTCAAAATATCCTACAAGTTCTTCCATTGAAAGTCCAACATGAGAACTGCACAAGACGTTGGCGAGATATCCTGCCTCTGTCCTCGAAGAAGATTGAGCAAGACATTACCGCACAAGGAACTCCTATGAGAACGGATTCATTCGTCAAAATTCACTCAATATACGACTAAAATATTTGGCATCACAAGATCAGTTCAATATCCTAATAGAATGTACACCGACATTGCAATATGAAATAAAAATCGGAAGAGAATATTTGACAGATTAATATCCGTGAAAACAATTAAAGGTCTATCAATACAATAGACGAAGTAACTGCTGAGCTTAATGACATCCACGCAAAAAAAAAGGGAATAACAAATAGACATTGCAATATTCAATGTATTTCCAGGGAAACAACAACGTGATTATCCACGCATTATCCCCTGTATTTTGATACAATTTCCAGTACAATTGCCGCGTACACAATATTAATAAGAATTGCAACGCTCCTGCTCCAACAATTGTGGACACAATACAGCATCTACGCGCTATAGTTATTGTATCCCTCGATTTCCTTCAACAACAGGAAAAATCGGCGCAATATCCGCTAAAGACTCAAATAATGTGATATCCTCTGTAACAAGACGGTAGTACAACACCTGTAATAAAGTAAAGAATTCAATTTCTTTATTCACCTTAGGTGAATAAAATTTATTTCAGCTTAGGTGAATAAAGGTTATTTCACCTTAGGTGAATAAAGATGATTTCACCATAGGTGAATAAAGGTTATTTCACCTTAGGTGAATAAATAACAGCGTCAACGGACGCAATACAAGACGAGGACGAGCCTCAGTGGTGAGAGGGTAACTGCGGTGGTTACCCCTCACGGTTACCCTCACTCCTTACAACACGCATGAGGGTTAAAAGTAACTTATCTGTTGTAACAGAACAATTCCATTGGCATGGCCAGAATAGTAACAAAATGAACGCAAAAACGCTTGAACAGAGAACAGTGTAATGGTGACGGCAAGACTGGTGCAAAATAAAGCTTATGTTTCCGATTTTTAGGCACAAAAGCTAAAGCAACTTACGATCTTCAATAATTAAGAGATATGCAACAGAGCTGAATAACTGCGTTGAATACCTGCACAATGATCGATATGTAACAAAAAATCTCAAATGATAAAAATTAAATTCATGAATAGTTTTAATAATAGCAATAAATGAAATGTAATGAGAGTCGAACCTTTAATGCCAGTACACCATGCACAATATTGCCAAGGGTTAACTTCACATTACGAGACTACATCACAGCCTAATGTAAAGCCAAACTATTCGTGAACTAATCGCCACAGAGCCGCTGATGTGCAATGCAGTTAAACATATGAGCTTAATGACGACATTCAACAATCCATTACATCAGAACTTGTTTGTCCCGCTCAGACGGAACAAAACAATCAGGTAAAACGGCAAACTAAATATTGGTCAAGAATTCCGATGTACAGAAAAATTATTAAAGAAAGTATTAGCATTTCACCTAATTTGGTTTACCTCAAACAATTAAACATCAAACCCACCACACACCGTCATCACCACACACACCGTCATCACCACACACACCGTCATCACCACACACCGTCATCACCACACATCGTCATCACCACACACACCGTCATCACCACACACCGTCATCACCACACACACCGTCGTCACACCACAAACACCGTCATCACCACACACCGCCATCACCACACACCGTCATCACCACACACGCGGGTTGTGTAGGTGGAACATGAGGATCTCCAGGAAATACAGCTACAAAATAATTACTTCACATACTGACTTGGAATGAGATTAATATAAAAAAATTCCATTAAAATTAATTTGTTTGTTCTGACGAAACAAAAGCTTCCACTAAGCAATCAAATAACGAAAACCTCTAACATTGAACAAAAATTAGCATACCTTTCATCAAACTTGAGAACGCGTTTGAGGCAAGAAGATCAGTAATAGGAAACATCGAGATCATCATAGCGTGACAGTGCAAAATCAGGAGCTAATGATCCCTAAAATGTAAAAATTATCTTCCTTTAACATCCGTAAAATTTACTGAGATCGAGCCAAGCGTTTAAAACGCCGCTCAAATTTTACAGCGCAGCCCTGCTCTTCACAACGCATCTACCACCGCAGACAAGTGCTGCTTTACAACGCATCTACCACCGCAGACAAGTGCTGCTTTACAACGCATCTACCACCGCAGACAAGTGCTGCTTTACAACGCTTCTACCAACGCAAACAATCGTTTTATAACGCAGCTTAGCTTTTTCCAACGCATCTCCCATAACAGCCAAGCACTTTACAACTCACCCAAGCGAGCCATGAGCAAGCAAGATCCCACACAAGAGCACGAGAAGAGAAAAATGTCGCGTATTTCTCCTCTTCATCATTTATTAATAAGCAATGTATTTACCTATCTATACAGCTGCCGAATTTGCCGCTGAAGTTTCATCGAGTAGAACCAATATAAAATATTTTATATATTTAATATACAAAGATCAGTAATCTTCCATTAATTGAAGGCACAATGAATCACAACCACGAGTCATAATACAATAACTTTTACAATTATTCAATACAAACATTGAATTGCAATATATCAAGTTTAACTTCATAATAAAAGAAATTAAATCATGAATGAGAAGTCCCCAAACTGCCCCATTGCAAAAACTGTGTCTGAATTGCCAGAAGAAAACGACCTGCTATTCGTTTGGACTGCCCAAGAAGACGTGAGCGGAGCAGACGAGCCTATGAAACAAATTCTCATTGAACGAAAATGAGCTCTGAACTTCTTATGAAACAAAGCAAAGTCCTGATGGAACAAATACCTGACAGTAGGCACCACAATAAGGCACGGATTTTTGGTAGACAACAGGGTACTGCCTTCTACGGCTTCAGGTCAAGTTAATATAGTTATCATGAGACTCGACGATGTTCTACGTGAACGATACAAGGTTTTTACGAGAAAGGTCTTTTTGAGAAAGAATATTCGAGGAAGAATAACAAGCTCTAAGCAGACAAGAAGAACGGTCAGAGGACCGTGACGAGGTTAACGCCGTCCGTTACGTCACCGTCGAGGCTCCGTGACGTCCCAGCCTCGTCCCTAAAACGCACGGCCGCCACCGGGACGACAGGGACGGGACGCACTTCCTGCATGGACGAGGACGATGAGGCGACACTGGGCGACGTGACGAGGGACGAAGCGTTACGGAAACTGGCGACGTTCTCGTAGTCAACGTCCGTCGTCAGGTCGGCGCGACGACAGATGCCGAGGTCGGCGAGGCTTGCGTGGATGGGTTCTGGGGATGGGGCCTCTCCTGGGGACATGGCTCCTCCTGAAGCCGTGGGGGAGAAAGGGGGAGTGTTCAGTGCGGGGGGAGTGTGCGGGGATGTGCCCGGGGAGTCTAGACCACATGACACGGATTCTGGGGCGGGTGGGGAAGAGGAGACTGTAGGGGAGGAAGAGTGGGCTGGAGGAGAGTATGGGGGGATGCCTCTGAGGAAGGCGTGTGCGGTGGTGGGGCGGAGGGCAGGAGGAGGCGAGGGGGGCGGCGAGACGAAGGGCAGCCCACTCAGCTGCCTGATTCGCGCGTGCAGCTGCAGCAGGTGCTCCAGCAGCTGCCGGTCGTCGGCTTTCAGCTGCATCTGTAAAAAAAGCACCATTAGCACATCATTAAAGGGGACACTATTGATGCTGAGGGAGATTATGTTGGTTGTGCAGAGCGTTATTATGCTGACAGTGATTATTCTAAAAGCTGTTATGCAGAGAGTGGCTATTCTGAAGGTGGCTATGCTGTAAGTAAACTCACCAGATCAGCTCTTAGCTGTTGGAACTGTGGCTTGTTGCTGATGGGAGAGCTGACTAAGGTGCTGACTGACGTGTTGACCGACGTGCTGACTGAGGTGCTGACTGACGTGTTGACCGACGTGATGACTGAGGTGCTGACTGAAGTGCTGACTGAAGTGCTGACCAAATCGCTACCAGTTTCATGAATCGCCTGCTGAGCATCATGAACCGCCTGTTGTTTAGTTTCAGGCAAATGTTTCGGTAAGGAAGAAAAACAAGTCCAGGGATCCTGCGCGCCGGAGGAAGCTGATGGAGAAACTGACGATGAGGTTTGGGGAGGAAACGATGAGGGGAGGCTGGGGAGGGACAAGGTCAAGCTGGGGGAGTGGGGAGCGTGGGAGCCCGAACACGAGATGACGGGAGAGGAATTGGAAATAAATGGAGGGGCTTGTGAGAGGGCTAGTTGGGGAGCTGATGTAGGGGCTGGATGGGAGCCTGGTTGAGGAGCTGGTGGTGGGGCTGGTGGAGGGGACCTGGAAGCGACGGCATCCAAGACGAAGCGGGGAAGAGGTGGAGGCAGGGGAGGTGCCAGGTCCTCGTGAGGATGTGGAGACATCTGTGTATAAAATAATCATTAATAATATACTACTCAGTATTACATATGAAATACCATACGATTCAACACTAAGTGAATCTTAGTTACAATATGCATTTTTACACATGTCAAATAACTGTATTCCAGTAGAATACAATGTTTACCTGTCGCCTTTCGTAGTCGCTGTCCGGACTTTCAGAGCCGTCGTGCCAGTTTTCGTCGGATAGATACCATTTTTGGCGATGGTTACTCGATTTTGAGCGATTCCGTGCTTCACCGCCGTAGGCAGGCAACAGTTGCCGCTCGGGAGATGTTTGTGCAGCGGATGCGAGGGCCTCTCTGTCATTCAGGCTCCAAGGCCGGAAGTACGTCTCACTGATGCGGTCATCCGACGCTGAATCGGCGCCAGGAAAGGTGCTGCTGTGCGCCATTGGGAAGAACGAGTACAACGCACGATCCACTGAACGTTCTTCCCAAGTTTCGTTACCCGGGTCGAATTGTTCGGCTGGTCTAGAGATATATTCGCTAGAGCGATCTTTCTGTGAGAGAGATTGCGAGTCTCCATTGAATCGCTCTTCTTCCAACACTCCTGAAAGGGGTTTAGCCTGAGACATTTTATCCAAGGATCCGATTCTTTCTGCGTTATTTAGAGCATTTTTCCCCGTTTCCTGGCAGTCAAAGAAATAATTGTTGACGCAAAAATTGGCGCCGTTCTCATACAGAGGTTCGGTCATTGTATCGTCGTTTACGGTCTCCATTAAAGCCTTCTTCATTTTCCTGGCTCTTGATTTAACGGAAGTTTGATGGACAGGATTAGGAGTGTTACTTGCAGACTCCATGGTGCTGACACCGGAAGCAGTGCCACATGGACTGCCACCGAAGAGTTCTGGAAGTCCTGCCACGCTGCTGGACGCAGAGCTTCGTCCGCCGCAAGACTCGCTGCGCCTCGAGCTGGCACTTCCAGGAACTCTGCTTTGAGACTCGCAACCGAGTGAGACTTGTGACAGACAAGACGCGAGACTAGTAGATGACTTGTAGTCCACTGACTGGGCCAGGGACTGACTGCTTGATCCTGACTGATAAGATGACAGGATTTTAGCAGATGACTGGCTCGGGACATAGTCAGACCGACGCGAGTGCTCGGACGGAGGACGGCTCCTGTTGACTGACTGGCAAGAGTGGGATCTCGAATTCAGGTTCAGATTTTCATCACCATCAGGTGCTGTTATCTCTTTCTTGTAGTGAATGGCACTGGAAGAGGAGGTAGAAGCAGGGCTGGTGGAATAGCTTAGCCCCTGAACAGACTCTCGGGATTTCTGCAAACTTTTACACAACCTCAGGGCGGAATGCTCTTCATCACGAGGATTACTTTCCTCCTCCTTCAGCTCCTCGCTGTCCCATATAGGAAGCGCGTGGCCAGAACTTACTGAACGGAGATAATCAGACTTATTCGTTGTATTAACGTAATGGGGCGACTGAATCTTAGCACATATCTTATCCACGAACTTCGTGACCTCCCTGAGACCGGGACTAAGAGGCTGCATGTACAACTCTAGAGGCTCCTTCTTATCCCCGTCAGTGCTGTCCAGGGGCGCGGCGTAGACTTCGCTAACGTGTGGCGGCGCAAAGCATTTCTGGAAGTAGCTGGGGGATGCATAACTCGCCGACGAGGGTGACGGTGACAGTGGGTCTGACGCAAGATCCAGACGTAAGTTATTAGGACCTCGTTTGGATTCTTCATTAAGATTAAGAGGAAGTACAAATCCAGGCTGCCGATCAGTAAACTTTCTAGGGGATGAGTGATCGTGACCAGGCTCAGGCATTGGCCTCACAGGAACAGGATAACAAGAGCCGCTCACGACGCTCTTCGTGGCGCTAGAAGGAACCATGTCAACGTTTCCGGGTGAAGAAAATGATCTTCCGAATCCTGAAGGCCTGGCAATGTTAGGCGTGTGGCGCGGGCTTGAACTGTCCACAAGAAACGTTGAGGGACATGTGAAAGAAGGGCGTGATGGAGTCAGTGCAGACGCGTGAGGGGAGGTGAGTAAAGAGGCGTGAGAGGGAGGAAGTCCAGAACGACAAGAGGAGGTGAGTCCAGAATGGTGAGGGGGTGTAAGTCCAGATGTTTGAGAGGAGGAGAGTCCAGCGGGACGAGATGGAGTAGGTCCAGATGAGTTAGAAAAACAAATTCCAGAAGGACTGAGAGAACTAGAATGGCAAATTTCACAAGAGGAATTGGCATGGCTTGAACAAAAAGTGGCGGCGTTTGGAGATGTAAGTCCAGATAAGGGAGTTGGAAAAACACCAATAAAGTGAGTAGGGCAAGAAACAGGAGGGCTAGAAGGATTGTAGAGACGAAGACTAGAGGGACAAAGGCCAGTGGACTGCGAAGGACAACTTGTACAACACGATGGTGGGGCACAACAAGCGTCGCTCACAGACCACTCGTGAGGGCAGCATGGCGACGCTCCACAGCAGAACTGAGGTGGGGCGCTCATCGGTGGGTGCGTGGACCACGAGGTGGGTGGTGGGGCAGCAACAACTGAGTTACCCACAGCCTCTTGAACATTGCCCATACCCGAAACACCTGAGTTACCCACAGCGTGGGGAGCCTCTTGAACATTGCCCATACCCGACCAGAAGTTGGCGGGTACCAACTGGGTCTCAATATTTCGGGGAACAAGAGCTCTTTCAGAATTATTTTCGCTCAAACCATGAGAAAATGCGTGATGTCCGACAGCACCGGCGGCAGTATTACTTCCAACCATTGTAGTTTCGTTGTTGCGACCAGGATTTACATGTGCATTATGAGTAGCCTCGGGTTTGGTCATGGACTGTTCAGAATAGGCACCTCGTTCAAGGATGCGATTTTTAACTCGGCCTTCGCCGGGTTTCTCCTTGTCGGAAGTTTTAGACTTCCTCTTCGTGCGTCGTTTCTTCTTCTTATTCGCCTTCATGGGAGTAACTCTAATAGACAGATCATGGCTACGCACCCCGCGGTCGTTGAGGACACCCAACGCAGGCTTAGGGAGGAAAGCCAAGGATGAATTAGAGACGATGTCTAAGGCAGGCTGAGGGAGAACACCTCGGATAGAACTACGAATCATCAGTCTATCAGACTCAATTGAACGAATATGACTTGAAGAAGCGCCTTCATAGAGTGCAGCTGGTTCGCTGAAATTGATGTTGGACGCTGAATTGGATGTCTGGCCGCTACCGTTTGTGAGGTTCTCATAACACCGCAACTTTTGCTCGGGCTCTGCGTGACGGTTATTCTCTTCCGGGATCTTCTCGACGCTCCCTCCCCGCCAGGCTTCATTAGGGACTTTCCTCATCCCCCTACCGGGGGAAACCTCAGACGCCGGGGCCGACTGGGTGCTTCGGCACGAGCTCGTGAGTTTGTTGAAGCGGCGTTTGTTGAAAGCTAAATAGCTGAAGGAAGTGTCCAGTTTCGTGGATGAATACCATCGATCCGCTGAGTGCACTGAGGTCTGGTCAGTGCCTGTTGAGGAGGTAGAGTGATGCGAGTAAGTCGTAGATTTGGCTGAACTGCGCAAGGGCCCGCGCGAGAACAGCCCCCTCTTTGAACCTGTCCTTATAAAATCAGTAGCGCCAGAGCACCGTAAACTACGACGTCGCATGTCACTAATGAACGACACACTCGGGTCGTCGCTGTCGTCGCCATCGTTTGCACTACGCGTCGATGGATCAAACCCTGATGATGTAACTACTGCAGATTTGGCTTCTATACTGCCATTAACTTTTGCGTTACCCTTACTTGCTTTCTTTTTACTATCAAGCATCGGCAAGAAAGACTTGGCGCTGATTAAACTCAAGCTTTGTCTGAAACTACTAGATTTACTCACTTTCTTTGAGTTTTTAATCTCGGGTAAAATGTTTTCTTTACCGAAGGAGTGCGTGTCTTTTGCAGAGCAGTTGGAAGCGGGACCCATGGCACGAACGTCGTTGTAAGATCCCCCAGTGAACGATGACGCCAGGTCCGTGGTGACGGCTAGAGGAACGCCGTTACGACGACCACCGTCACGGCAGCCCACGGCCACGCTGTTACTCCTGTCGCGGGTAGCCGGGCAGGCGGGCGAGGTGGTCGCGATGAGGCCGCCTGTCCGACACGATGGTTCTTGTGCCTTACTGTGAGGCCCTCTCGTCCACGCTGGCGGCGGGGCTTGAGTCACACGATGTTCGTTACGGTCGTTATAACCGCTGAGGTTATTATACCCGTTGACAACTTGCACAGATTCTAGATTTGAGGACCCAATTTGCCTTTGATGAGCACCGGCATGCCCTCCGTTGTGCCACACATCAGATTTAGCAGGAGAAGAAACGACCGGACCAAATTTATTGATTGCATTACTCCCTTCTTGATTGCCGCGTTTTGGCTGGGCGAAAAGCACTCGGGCAGCACGAGATCTTTTGCCCTCTTCTTTGGTAGCGTCACAGGAGAGCGAAGCGCTGGCTGGAGTACTGCTCTGCTGGGGATGTGCAGGTGGAGACCTCGAGATTCGTTCGAATGAAGTCTCGTTCTCGTCCTCCTCCAGCACCGTGAAGACGCCCGAGTTGCGGCAGCCCACGCCCGTAGCGTCCCTGAACTCAAACCAGTTCCGGGAGCCGTCATCGTTGAGACGTTCACGCATCTCACTAATCAAAGGGCCGCCGCCCCCCGTGGTCAGGTTAGAGCCACGCAGGCGCCGGCAGCCGATGGTTGAGTGAAGGCTGGCGTCGCTGCCGCACAGCTGACACTGTCCCTCCGGAGCATAGCTGACGTCAGGGGAACGGTTGCTGTAAACATGCGAGTCAAAACTTGCGTCAACTGGATTACCACTTTTGCCAGTCGTCTGCTGGCGGCTGCCTAGGCTGTGTCGCCGTCCAGGAAGTTGATACCCTGAGGAACCAGGCTGCTGGAGAACAGTTTCTGGATGATGGACAACTCCAGGTTGATGGTAAGCTGTGGCTGACTGGTGCTGAATACCTGCAGGATGAAGCAAGGCTCCCGACTGTTGATATCGAGCATCCGGCTGCTGATGGCCTGCGCCGGTCTGATGGAGACTGTCAGAAGATCCTTTACCGCGTCCTCCGAGTCCCAAGAACAGGTCTTTGAAGCTGCTAGCTGACCCCCTTAGAAAGGCGGGCGTAAACCTTAAGCTCCCAAAACCGGTTTTCTTTTTGGATTTTTTCAGATTTTCAGTGCTGCCCAAATTTGCACCGCCACTTTGCTCGAGATTTTCGATACTGTGCGAGCGCGCAACTCTCTGCTGGGGATGTGTCGCCTGGCGGGGGGCGTGGAATTCTCCCCCATCACGCCCATGTCCTCGAGATGGGGCGGGAAGGCGGACCATGAAGCCCTCTTGTACTTGGCCTCCCCATTCTGGGGTGAGGCATACCAGCCCGTAGAGCGCGAGGACACAATATCGTTGCGATGAACATCACTTTTAACAGGAACGTTTGCGTTATTTGCGTCACTCCACGCCGCGACGTTGACGTTACTAGCGTCGGTAGACGCGACGTCGCGACGTCTGAACAACGCCAGACCTCTCGACCCGCGATCCTTCATCCTCCGCAATCTGCAAAAACGCAAAATTGTGAGAAAAACAAATACTTAAACGTGAAAAATAGTAAACTCTACACAAGATGGCCATAAACACATAATGGGAATAACGTTAGTAAGCAATAGATCTCAGCCATGTATTTTAAAATCGTATGAGTTAGGAATACATAGTACTCAAGCAAGTTGGATGAATTAGGTGGATACATGAAAGTTTGATGAGTAGGTATATATAGATACCTATACTTATCAAACCAATATTTTTTAGGATATAATCCTCACTGTCTCCTGGGACTTGATAAGGACTGCTCTCCCTAGAACGATATATATGATTCATCCTCACAAACGCAAGCACGTTGGGGGCAGAAAAAGCCTGAATGATCTGCGAATTTCCTAATGCTACTTCCTCGTTAAAATTTCCTTTGAGCTTATATTTGTGAGCAGTTAACAGAGGACAGCCAGGCAGGTACCTCATACTAGCACCATCACTCTGGCAAAACTGCTGCGTTGAAGAAAATTGTTATCGTTAAATAAAAAAATGTTATCCCTGAATCAGATTGTTAAAGCAAATACAAGGAAATTGCTGTCTAATTGAATTATCAGTGAATGAAACACGGCAATCGACAACTGAAATCATTATCGGTATACCCTATATGACAACATAAACTGCTATTTATAAATGAAATGGTTATGTACCATCAAGTCAAAAACTATTTTAAAAATAAAATCATGGCTTAATCATCATCAAAACCAATCGTTCATATATAAATCAAAAGGCTTCGCTTGAACATGAAATACTTCAGACCTAACAGCTGATTTTGTAGACCAGTTTACTTCTGAGGTGATTTGCGTCCTTTGAATTCAGTTCAGTTTTTTCAGTTCTGTTACCTTCTCTCCTGTGGTAATTAATGATACCAGATAAGTAGCTTGTCCTGAGCTAATAACAGCAAGTGGCAGACAAACGTTCCTCTAAAGGCACCATACAACTCGAAAAAGTATAAAATGGATAAACCTACCAACAAAGTTCAGGCAATACAAAGTATGTTTAGGGTTCGACTCTTAATTGAAATAGGTTATGTTACAAAGAAAGCCATTTGGATTTGAACTTTAGTAAAAATAATATACGAACATTGAACTTCAAGTCGTTTATCGCATTTTTTATAGCATCGAGTGCCGTGTGTAAGCCATGACCCAACGTGATCAAGATTAGCATCGTTTCTTGCGCTGCCACACTGAAAAAAACGAATGGGTCTCTTTGTCCAAGGAGTGACACACTTTCTGAGCGTAGCACAAATACGCCATTTTTCCTCAGAAAACAGGGATAGGATGACCCACAGAAAGCGAATTATGCATCGCTATTGGGACAACGTCTGGCTCATTTCTTGCGCTGCCACAGTAGGCTTTAATTCAGGCGCCTCGAGTTATCCGCAGCGCTGCTGCTCAAATAATAAAAATGTTACCTCGCTAATCCAACAGCCAGGACACGACACATATAATAATATAAGAAATGTATGGGTAATAAATACTGATACTGACACCAAAACTTGAAACTAATAAAAGAGAAGCACTCACGTTTTAAAACACAATTACTTTTTTTTGTGTCAAGCCTTACGTTCGGTCACCGAGTCTCGGCTTAATTGACAGACAGGCTGACTGAAAAGTCCTAGTGCATGAAGTGCTTAGTGTACGTAGCACAGGTGCAGGCACGTGTTATGTGTGCACGTAGCACAGGTGCAGGCACGTGTTGTGTGTGCACGTAGCACAGGTGCAGGCACGTGTTATGCGTGCACGTAGCACAGGTGCAGGCACGTGTTATGTCTGCACGTAGCACAGGTGCAGGCACGTGTTATGTGTGCACGTAGCACAGGTGCAGGCACGTGTTNCCTCCTGATGCATGTTATACCTCAACTCATGCCCCATTAGGCCAAATCCACACCTCCTGATGCATGTTATACCTCAACTCATGCCCCATTAGGCCAAATCCACACCTCTTGATGCATGTTATACCTCAACTCATGCCCCATTAGGCCAAATCCACACCTCTTGATGAATTGTTATACCTCAACTCATTGCCCATGATGCGACTTTTACACCTCCTGATGTTCCATTTATTATACACCTCCTCCACACCCTAAGATGCCGAAAAATGCAAATGCCTGAGTGTTTCCATACACATTTAATATTAATGAACGGTCAGCTTGAAAAGGAATAAAACATGCACAAAAAGTCACTCGATGGATGAAAAGTTCCTTGGTGAAATAACGAGTTGAAACGTAAGTAGTTGATCGATACAAGCAGTAGAAGAGCAAGCGTGAACAGACTCCTAGAAAAATATGTAAAATATAATCAAATGAATAAATGCCTAACCACGAACACCCACACAACGCGCGATATCTTCATACTGACCACCCCCATCGTGGCCGCCACTATAGATAAATAAGATAATGTGCTCCTGATTTGAGGGGTCACGGAGCCCAACTGATCTGACATTCAGCAAAAACAGGGCCGGTCTTCAGTAGCAACAGGGCCGATATTCAGTAACAACAGGGCCTAAATTTAACAGCAGCAGGGCTGGCACTCAGCAGCAACAGGACCGGTCTGCAACAGCAAAAGGGGCAGGCATTCAACAACAAAATAACACGGTATAAGATTAGATGATGCAGCTTCACTGCTGAGAAGGAAAACCGCGGACACTTGTCCGTTGGCATGGGCGGTAAAACGGGAACTCCAAACTCAGGTTGGAATAGTTCAATTTACACGAGACCAAAAAAGTGGACATAGGCACGAGTTATATCGAGCCCTCGTCACACCATCAGAAACATGCCATCGCATCAGGCCATGCCACATCATCAGACTCATGCCACAGCATCAGACCCTTGCCACATCATCAGACCCATGCCACAGCATCAGACCCATGCCACAGCATCAGACCCATGCCACAGCATCAGCCCCATGCCACAGCATCAGACCCATGCCACAGCATCAGACCCATGCCACAGCATCAGACCCATGCCACAGCATCAGACCCATGCCACAGCATCAGCCCCATGCAGCCACCGAGTTGTGAGGCTGCCGTGAGTCAAGTGGTGAATCAACACGGCCTCAACCCTCGCCTTGTGAGTAACTCGCTCCTATCAGAGGGGAATTGTCATCAATTCTGCAGCATTAACGCCAGTTGTCGTCAGGAACCACGGAGAGGGTCAGGCAAGCTCGCTATCTGACGGTCGAATGTGCATTATTTGAAACGAATTATATAATTTATTTTTTATATTTTAAACGTCCATATCTATGTTAACTGGCTTATAACAACGGTACGAGCAGCAGCCTCCGAGCAGAGCATTCGCGTAAGGCGGTCCTCGTGCATCCAGAGACTTCGTCTGTCAACACTTGCCGATAAGCCGGCTAACATTGCGTGCGAGACGCGGTAGAGTACAAGCATCGCTTCATCTAGTTCATCATATACAGCACGAGTCGGGAGTCGGTAGCATGAGGCGATAGCATGAGACGGGAGTGTAAGGAGCTAGCAGGATGCAGCGGATTGCAGTACGAGAGAGAAGAATGAGCTATTAGGCGGCTGCAAGATGCAGCAAGAAGCGAATGCTGCAACAGGGTAAAGAAAGATGCAGCAGCGGGAGGCAAGAGACAACAGCAGGGAGTTAGGACGTCATTATCAGCCGGCAGCACCATCAGGATGCTGTAGAAGGCACGGCCAACAGGAGGCAGGAGGCAGCACCGGAAGCAGAGGCGTCTCCGGTTGAGGAAGCATCTCCACCGCGGTAGGGAGGGTTGGGGAAAGAGGGGTGGAATAGGAGGGTTGGGGAAAAGGGGGGTGGAATATTAGGGATGGAATAGGAGGGGGTAAATCGGAGAACAATGGGGGCATGAAACGTGAAGAGTGGAGGAGGGGAGGAGATGTAGGAAGCCATATAATATACATACACGCCTCCACAGGCGCGTTATCAGAATGAGGAGAACGGAGAATTAATTGGGTACGAGAAATAGTGGCGGAGTGGGAGGCTCGATATGCAGTTCATTTACGGTAGGGAGACACGGTAAATACGGTAGGGGGAAGGCATCCACGGTGGGATAACACGGCAGGGTAATACGGTATACACGGTAGGGTGTTCACTGTAGAGTAACAAGTTGATGTAGCGTTACGGCATTAGGGTGACCCGCTACCGCAACAGTGGGATGACAGTCACGCCCCCACATCACAACTCTGCTGTGCACGTCACAGCGCTGCAGAGAACGAGTCATGTCATCGCTTACAGTCAGACATGTGACAGACATGTCACATGTCGCCAGCAGGCCAGTCATAGAATGTCATGTATGTCACGAACTGTTAGGCATGTCACAGACTATCAGCTGTGGCAAAATTTCCATGGATGAGATATCAGGAATGACAGCCACTATTAGGATAGACAACTATCAGTAAAAACAGCTTTTAAATGACAGCGACTGTCAGAAATGTGTCAAACACATCCCAGACTGTCACACTCTGTAACAGGTCACCTGCAGTTGCATGACTGACATGCCCCCACTACCGCTGGTGTCAGCTCACCTGCACCACCACCGCTGGTGTCAGCTCGCCTGCAGCATCACCACCGCTTTTTTCAGCTCGCCTGAAGCACCATCACCACCGCTTTTTTCAGCTCGCCTGCAGCACCACTCCCGCTGGTGTCAGCTCGCCGCCACCAGTTGCTGAGTCAGCGTCTTGATGGCAGGCGTGAGAACAGCGCAGTGTTCTCCGCACCACAATGCACCACACGCTTAGCCATGCTTACCCATGCATGCATCTCGTTGTGATGAACACTAACTAACTGAATCATAAGACGATAAAACTCTTAATTAAATACCAGTTTTTCCAAGCGTTGTTTGGTACGTACGCTTTCTGTAGTGCCATCACAATTTTCGTATGCCGCGGATTCAACCCCGTATGAATTTTAATGCAAGCTTGTCGAACTTCACGTTCAGAATTCAAAGAAACGTTAAGATTCTAAAACCATTAAAAAAGCTTCAGTACCAGCCAATGCCTAGAACTGATATTTGACTTTTCACTCACTTTTGGTGCAGAGACGGGATCAATTGATGGGATAAACTGGGAGCGTGAAGGTGATACAGCGAACCGCAACCAGGGAAGTAAACCGCGAGCAGGCTTACTGAACCACAAGCAGCCAAGTGAACCGCGAGCAGGCTAGTGAACCATGAGCAGGCAAGTGAACCCCGAGCAGGCTAGTAAACCACAAGAAGCAAAGTGAACCACGAGCAGGCTAGTGAACCGCGATCAGGCTAGTGAACCGCGAGCAGGCTAGTGAACCACAAGCAGCAAAGTGAACCGCAAGCAGCAAAGTGAACCGCAAGCAGGCTAGTGAACCACAAGCAGCGAAGTGAACCGCAAGCAGGCCAGTGAACCACGAGCAGGCTAGTGAACCCCGAGCAGACTAGTGAACCGTAAGCAGCCAAGTGAACCATGAGCAGGCAAGTGAACCGCTTTGATGATGTAGTCATCATGTAGATTCTAAGATGATCGCAAATTTGGGAAAGGTTCGAAGCTCGTCCATTAAATCCGTAATTTAAACTGATGACTGTGATAGCAGCAGACAGCACACCTAACCTAACCTAAGGCATGCAATGCATGCAGGATGCAAACTATGCAGCCGACCAAAGGCATGCATGCTGATATTGCTGACTAAGCAGCAGACTTGCCAGCACATGCCATTGTCATGCATTGTCTAGTAATATTTCTCAAAACTCAGGTTACCTGTGCGGTAATGAATTGAATGGTAAAAACAAAAATTATACACAGAAATGCTAGCAATGAAGGAAATTTACATAGGTATTTATAATTATCAGAATAAATAGAAAACTCAGTTCACGTTTAAACTACGTATACATTTTTGATACTTGAACTATTAATTTTGTTTTCAAGATAATCTTAGGAAGTTAGGAACCGTCTTCTAAATAGTACATAACTCAATGACTATTACTTAGTATTAATATTATCTTCAACACTTCAACTAAGTTAATGCGTAGGTAAATTAAATTTCTCCATCAACTGAGTATAACAGAATAATTTCACGCACACCAGCAAAACGTGCTCCTAAGTAACAGAAGTTGAGGCAAAGGTCATCATGAGGCGTTGGTTCCGGTGAAACTATCTCACCAATGCCGAAGAACACGACCGCGACGGTTAGGTGGTGTTTCTGAGTCGGTCAGTTCGCAACCACGACACACATCAACTTAATTCTCCATCTAACACTATGCCTTGTTACTTGGTACTCACCAGTGGTTCTTTAGGTCCTCAGAAGATAGAATCACTAAAATTAATCCAATAAAGCGACAAAACATGGGAACGGAAGGGGCAGGTGGCACAAACTACCAGGGGGAATAACACAGTGGATCGCGTTGCAGACAAAAACTCGCACACCCTACCCCAAGAACGCTAAACATCAACTGAAACTCAAACAATAACAGACTAGGTTGTCGTACACCGGCATCCAAAGTTGGCAGCGCAGAGACGAGCAGTTCTCAATAGGATTATCACATTGATGGAATGCTACTTGTTTCATGCTGGTTTACAAATATTTTTTACAACACTTCTCTTTAACTTCACTTCTTGTTCGTCTGCTACAAATCTTATAATCTATATTTAACACACTTCTACCTGTCCAATCGATCTGAAATTTTGCACAGTTGCGTAAAGTCGGAGACAATGCATGTATCAATTAACATAATAAATAACTTTAATAATCTAAAAATATATAAATATATTAAAAAATTAAAAAATACTTTCTTAATATTTAAAAATAAAATGAGAAATTCATTGTACACGTGTAACATCGGAGACACTGGCCTCTTTAAAATTGGTGTCTTTAAACAGTAATTTTTAAACGGATATTAATTTACTATAGCTCACTTATATTTAAATTTTTTATTCTACGAAAGCAAATTCAAATCGAAAACCTTTTCAACTCTCTGAAAATAAAAAATAGAAGTCAAGACTGTGCACTAACAACGAAAAGAGATATGAACATACAATGAGTCGACGAGGAGATTAAGAGAAGTATTTCCACTTGATTCTTGTTTACCAAGCAGGCAGAACCGAACAATAGCTTCAGCTATCCAAGTACTTACCTGAGCACAAAATTAAAACAAAATGCAACAGGAGAATTGTTTATAAGAAACATTCTGTGGTCTTCCACAAAACTTGTATACCTAAAGTAAAAGGAAATACACAATAAATGGAGTCGAGTTTCAAGCTACGTGGAATTTACCGTCACGGTTGACGATAAGGGCAGATAGATATCTTACAGATTCCTTTTTTACTTCAAAAGCAGTATGAACAATGAAACTTTATAGGTACGTATATTTCTGCACGATGATATTGTTTGTTACGGAGAAATCGCTGAAAAAATATAAATAAGCATGACAGTACTTCTCTATCAATAGGTTTTGGCTGTAATTTTATAATAATTTATCAAACTGAAAATGTACAAATCTTTCGTTGTTCAACAAGCGACAGACTTGGAAGCTGTGGAGATCGGAAATGAGCGCTAGCTGAGTGAAGGGTTGATAGGAAAGCCCATAAATTTAATTTCCTTATCTGAGGCGAACTGTCAATATTGCAAAGTCCAATATTTTCCAAGCTAATTAATTTTTCCCCACCCTCAAAATCTTCATGAACTGTCGATTGCAGTTCTGCGATAGCAACCAACACAAGCAACATGCCGAGTTGCTATTATACGTCTGTCATCGGCTCCTAAATAGTGGCCGACCCTAATCTACCGTTACTAATACGTGGACAAGACACCATAGTTTCCCCTTTCCTGTCTGCTCATTGTCGGAATGATGAACCTGATCATTGTGCACTCATCATTCCGCTCATTGTCCGAATGATGAGTCACCGTCATTGTGCACTGACAAAGGAAAATGTTTTGTATACAATGTTGAGATACCGTTACGTATCATGGTGTCATTGAAGTGTGTATAAGTGTTAAATATTTAATCATTGTCAATAAAAGGCATGGTTCTTTGTTCGCATTTCTGATAGCAGCGGCGGTCACCATTGATAAGCAGACGATCGAAGCACGGCGCTATCTGCTGCATCTTCCCACGAACGCATTTTAATTAGGCACCGATACTGTGGACATAATGTGGAAGTAAATAGAAAAAATCTATTAATGATAGTTGCAGCTCTCTGAATAATTTATAAAATTCACAGAAACAAACATAATATATTAAATGCCTGACATACATTTTACACGAGCCAAGTAGCTCCTTGAATTCTGGGAAGGAGCGAATATTAAAGGCATTAACTATTATATAGTAGCAGGGTAGCCTGACGTTATCCGGGACTAATAATCCAGCAATATTAGAAACCTGTTAGACCGATTCCGTTAATACTACTGAAGATAATGTATGTGTATGTCATCTGCAGAAAGGTTTGTCCAAGCTCACATGTAACATCAAACTTAGAACTTTCATTGACTCACGTTCCACAGTGCAAAATAACTATTTGGTGTCTTTTAACTTAAATTTATAGTTACCAATAGGAAAATTAAATTTCAAATTTTGCTCCAATCTTTTCCTCACTTAACTACAATCCTTTGTTGCTCACCCATTGAGGATAAATTTTCAGGTCCAGGCGCGTTATCCCGACATCATATGTATCCTGGATACGCGCCCCAACCGCCCCTATATATTTGTGGTGCCATAACATCTTCAAAAACAGACTAGACGAAGCTATGCAGGAGCATATGTTCAGTCTTAAAATGCCTAGCACATTACGGACCAGGCAATAAGTCCAGCAGCTATCTCAATCAATCGTCAGTTATGGAAAGATCGGGTTCCAAAGGCCGGACCCCTTGTGAATCAAGTCACGAAAAGTTCAAGAATCGGCAACAGGCCATGGGCCTATTTCTTCAGTGCCGACACTTCTATTCTATTCTACGTATCCTGGATACGCACCCTAACTGCCCCTATACATTTGAGGTGTCATAAGTATCCTGGATATCCGCCCACACAGCAACTATATACTGTATTACCAAGCTTTAATTTGTTCATTTGGCACAATCCAACCCCAATCACGAGCCCACCAACACGAAGAAGATTCTCCACATAGTCACACCAGGTATTATTCCATCATTTAACTCATTCTTTTAAACAAACCAACTTTGAGAAACATACATATACGATATGAGATACTTAATTGATTTGTCGTGCGTCAGACGCAGCATACATTAATTAATTGGAGCGCGCATTCACAATACCTGCCGTGTCAGGATATTACTGTGACCAGACAACGTATTCCTAGCACGGGAATTACCAGGCTTTGTAAAAAGTGGGCGGATTGAAAATCAAATTTTAACTCAAAATTATTTTTTTGTTATTCATTGTCTAAACTCTAAAGTATATTATAATATATATATTTTTAATTTTATGTAGGTAAAAAAATTCCCATCTTCTTTAAAAACAATGGTGAACTGATGGTTTGAGCAGGTTTTTCTTAAATTAACATGAATTCTATTTGGATAAATAAGACGATGGCAAAGATAACGGGACCGGAATTCTCAAATCTTGATAATACCTCGATCAAGGACTACTACACACAGGACATGCATAGCCTATGTCCAGCCTCTGCTAGCAGAGGCGATCGCCTACACTATGAAAATGCTGGTGTTTTAGTGGCATCAACAAATGATATGCCCATAATTGTTTCATACAATAGTATTACAANAAACAATTATGGGCATATCATTTGTTGATGCCACTAAAACAACAGCATTTTCATAGTGTAGGCGATCGCCTCTGCTAGCAGAGGCTGGACATAGGCTATGCATGTCCTGTGTGTAGTAGTCCTTGACCTCGATCTAAACAACTCCAGGATTAACCTTCAGAGCATTCCTGTTGATGACTCACTAAAACTGGTGGAAAAAATACTTTTGTATTGTGTTTTATGCATGAAATAAATTTTCTCGTATCTAAATTGAGCAAGAATTTATTTTTAAATCTTACTCTTCCCTGTGCTGCGGCATTAGCCTGTGCAACTAAGTCCTAACCATGCGAAGACAGTGAGGCGTAGCATTCATTGCACTTGACTAGCTAGTTCGTGACTTAATTTGCATCGTAAAAATGGGACAAACTTTCTTCGAGCCTTATTTTATTTACCTTATTTGAACCTCATTACCAATAAAGGAATATAGTTTGCACAATGCAGTAAAGACAGAATTTTTTGTGAACAGATGCTGACTGCACAATCCTAATAGGTAATGTGTAGTGAATTATATAAACACCGCGCGTCAGCATGCAAATTCATTTACGTGTTATTTTTATTGATTTATAATGAAACTGATTAAGCTACTGGCGAACCGAAAAGTTAGATCAAGTACCAAATATAGTTACTTGGCAACAGTGGATTGAGCGGAAGATGCCAGCATTTCCTCTGCACAAGACATCCGCCAGTTGTGCTCCCACACACGCTCGAGGCTTGCATTGTACGTTTGGCACCGCGCATAGAGAATTAGGCATAAAGATAAACATACCATAACAAAAAACATGCAATAACGGGATTAGATAACACCTCAGTCTTATTCTTGAGAAATATTATAAAACTTTCATTCTTTGTATTGAGTTTTAGCAAGAAAAGACCAGCAAACATCCATATAACTCGTATAAGAAAAGGCATCGGAAGATGTTTTTATGCCTTTTTTTCGTGTTCCGCGGCAAGTGAGTTAAATTTCTGATGGTTGACACAGATCGCACGTCTGGCAGCTTGTCTTCTGTTCGGGCAGATGTACGGAGCGCAACTGTGGGCAGCATGCGGGCGACGACCTAATGCACAATTACGTGCAGTACCTAAACACAATTGAGGAAGCGAGATGGGTTTGATTGTGTTAGTTGAACCGGCACATCTGACGGCACCAACGTTCTGCTCACGCTTTGGCAGCCGTCTTAGTCATGTGAAGAAGTACAATATGAATTGCGTTTCGTGCGTGTGTCTAAAAGCAGAATTAAAGTTATGCAGCAATGAATTTGGAGATCATTTTAAAGATTTTGGCGATGAGTTTCAGGTTTACGTGACTTCCAAGCGTAATTCCCAACTTCAGTAAAAGTTTATTGCGAACTTTATGTGACACCTTTTTACAGCCCCTAAAAAATTAGGTCCTCATCAAAATATTTATTAAACAGTGAATTAACGGGAAATTAGTAAGGGACGAAAGAGGGAAATATTTTTCAATCGCGGAATTGGCGATTCTGTGTAATCGACAGCCGCCAGTCAGTTTGCCGAATCTGTAAAATCAGCATTTCGTTGCTGATTCAGAAAATTGGACGTTAGATTTAGAACATAAATCGACAGTTAGAGTTAGAAAAGGTTAGGTCAAGTTCCTTCATATTCAAATGTTAACAAAACTTGGCTGATTGACCTAACCTCAGATTCCTATATAGAAATGCTGATTCTACAGATTCAGCTAACTGGCTGCCGATTCAGTAAAATCGTCAATTCCGCGATTTCGGCACGACATATATAATTCTAATATATGATGATTGGGGCAATGATTGTCTCGTTTTACTTCAGCTTCACTATGAATGTCTCGTTTTACCAGCTTCATAGACCCTAAATTGACTATCTGTTGGTACTAGACTTCATAAAATAGGCTGTGAAAAGACCAACTGTCCAATTCCCGGTGGCACAAGCCCCGTAAATCAATGAAGAAGTGGCAATCCAGTTCACGAATGCAGCTGAATCGTACGCTGTACAGCAACCTTTTAACTCGAAGAAATAAGGAGACTCGGTCCCAAAACTGATGCACCTTTTACTCTATCGTGGGTCATTCTGACCCAGCTTGGCTCGGCAAAGAAGTGCATTAGAAAGTATATCACGACTCGGACAATACGACACTTTTAGCGCATTTTCTCATTTATGGAAAAAATACACTAGTGTGCTCGCCATGTCCGTCCGTCTGTCTGTCCGTGACCTCAAGTTTTCGTAGACGAGAAAATGCGCTCTCTGTCACTCATTGCTGTGAGTTGTATTTTTTTCTGAATCTACGAATGTCTGCTGTTCGATTTCCCTATTAGCGCTAATGTTGAGATATCGACCTCCGCATCGCGTGTGGACTGACCACGCACAAACCTGCAGCCATCGATCGCACCTGCAGCAGGTGCATCTACATTTAGTCCTACAACTGGACGTTTTAGTAATCGGTATCATTTAAACCATTTTAAACTCGGTATCATATAAACTCGTGCTATCGTACTTAGTCTCTCGATTTAACTCATAGATGATTAAAAATCACACCATCATTAGTATACACGAACTATCATTAGTATCATACGAACTGTGTCTACTTAGCCCTAAAGAAAAGTACATGCAACAAAGACTAACTAGCCACACAAAAACCAATATGATTTTAAAAAACGACTGAAGCTGCACAATAAGAACCCTTTGAATGAAGATATTTCTTTCTTTATTTTGCGATCATTTTACGTTTTTACATATCCTGATCTCTCCTCCTGTCATGCCAACCGCCATTAAACTTGTAGCCGAACCGCATGTAAGGTTCGATGCCTACAAAACAATTGCTTCCGAACTGAACCAATCCGAAGCTTCTTAGTGTCGTAACGCTTCTTGGGATTCAAGTCTTTCGACCAAAGTGTACATAAAACCTTATTTTTTGTACAGACGATTTTAGCGTGCAGCCACAAGCGTGTTTTTCTTACAAAGAAAAAATACATCAAGTTTATCAACACGTCAGGCCAGCTGGCGAAGTCGTTTTCAGGACAGACTAAATGAATCGCATTCCACTGGACTCTTGTTGTTCTGCGGCTGCATTGTTGATATTCGTATGTCGTATCCAATAGAAAAATTACGTAAACTAACCGTCAGCAGAGAAAAAGTTCGTGTTTATTCGAGGCAATATTAGGAAGTGAGATGGCAACCTCACTGCAGGACAGACGGAAACACTATCAGAAGCTCTTGTGTATTTCATCAATAACTTCAAACAAGATTAAAAAATTAAATAAGACATGCACGTCATAACAAAACGACCCTTTTAAAGAACAAGTTGTTCGCAGAAACTAATAGATTGAATTAAAATATAACAATAAATATCGGCATTATTAATCTCCATAAATATTACGATGATTGCGGGCGTGTGATATGGCACAAGATCCATGAGCTAATAATGCAGAAAAACAACACCATTAACAAAATTTAAAACTCAACTCGTTTAGTTCCGTATGGACTTCAAGTCTACGCCAGCACACCGGGAGGCTTGGCAATGGCCGCCATGCGACCTCAAGTCTATTCAATTTCAAGGGTGTATTCTCCTACGTGCTTGACGGCAAAAATATATACTACTAACGAAGCGATAACAATATTAAAGCGTTTGATCAATAGAGCAACCAAGCTAACCCACAAACATAAAAAACAAGTAAAAGTAAGGCAGCAAAGTGCGGAAGTAGCAACACTTACAGCAAGTATTACTAGTTAGAAATGGAACGTGTCTTGGCCGGTCGGTTTATGTGTACAAATTAAATAAGTGATGTAAACCTTGGCAGGGCCAAGGCAGCGCGTTTTTTCTGATTTTAAACTAATAAAAAATACTAATAATATACTGAATCGTGTGCAATTTGATGTACAATTTAAAATCATAACTCTTCACTCTCTTCCTGATCCAGAATTCCAAAAGCTACGATCGCCACCAGAAGCCAAATCTATTCATTCACTAACAGTTGAAACAGTAACACACTTACGACTCATGATCCTACTGTATAAAAAACGTACAAAAATAGCTACCATAAGCTGGGTCATTCCAAATTTTCCCTAAGGTCAGCAATACTTCACACTATTGCACTTATTATTTCGCAAGCGCTCTATATTTACTTGGGTTCGACGAACACAACAGTTGCCAAAACCAGCAGCGAATATTAACATTGAAGCAATCAAAATTGCATCTATTATCATTTCCCTAACGAATAACGCATTTATATTAGTTAAATAATTTGTTCGCTAAAGAGAGAGCTCGTTTGTAAGTCCCCAATCCGGTAAGTCCCCAATCCGGCACAGTCCGGTATGGCGGCTTCACTCTCGCGTGCCCTCATGGGCCACTGCTGTCAACTTGTTATTACTAATTACTAAAATAACCACAATATTTATTAATATTATTATTTAAATCAATTAATCATTTATAAATTGAATATATTATAAATAAATCATGAGACGGCCAGTCATGACGTAGGATCAGTGAAGGAACCTTCATCAAGGGCCATTGAGCTAAAAATTTGACGTCAATCGAATGAAGTCTTGTGAAATGGCAAGGAATTTCCATGCATTTTAATCATTTATCGATGCAGTAAAACATGGAATGTATGTTCAAAGAAGGTCGCGAGGAATGCTGAGCAGTAGCATGAGTGATGGTAGCGCATGTGGTGCTACTTGATGCCCCTGCACTGAGCTGAAGTCGCGTCTGGTGAAGTTTCGTCCGCCTTCGACGCAACTCGTGAGTCAGTAGCTGGAATTATCTGACACGGGTCCGAAGGATCAACCCCCTACCCTCCTCCCAACACAGAATCACTCTTATCACTCTCAGGTCCCCAGGATAGTCACTGGTTGGTGACCACCTCACACTAACATGACACTAGCATGATGCTAACCTAATCACTAGAGAGCGCATTGCACAGGAAGCTATCGATGTTACCGCTGATTGGTGAACAGAAAGAAGCAGACTCCAGGTGTGGGCCAGACGTGGAAACGTGTTGTTCATGTATTTATAGTCTTGTACTTAAGCGTTAAATGCGTATTATGTCACTCTAATTTGTTCTCCTTGTTCGTCTGTTGTTGTTTTGTTCCTCATAAGAGCTGATGTCTCCGCTGCTGTCGCTGAGGCTCAGATGAGTTTGCTGTGCACCTGCCACAAGTCCTGTGAACACGAACCATCATTAGCATAACATGTACTATCAATAGCATAACATGTACTATCATTAGTATAGCACGTACTATCATTAGTATAGCACGGACTATCATTAGTACAGCACGGACTATCATTAGTATAGCACGTACTATTATTAATATAGCACGTACTATCATTAGTATAGCACGTACTATCATTAGTACAGCACGGACTATCATTAGTATAGCACGTACTATCATTAGTATAGCACGTACTATCATTAGTACAGCACGTACTATCATTAGTACAGCACGTACTATCATTAGTACAGCACGTACTATCATTAATATAGCACGTACTATCATTAGTATAGCACGTACTTTCATTAATATAGCACGTACTATGATTAGTATCACACGAACCATCCCTAGCATTTCCCCATGAACATGTATACATGCATTCAAGAACACGCATTCATTGATGCACATACTCTATCATGAACTTGCTTCCATTCATGACCATGCATCCATACATCAACTCTGCAGAGAAGTCAAATTAGTGCCATAGTGTTAAGACCGACGAAAAAAAATGCTCTTGGCTTTATGAAGATTTTGCTACACCCAATATACAGAAGTTGGCGTTATACATATACTACGCCCAATATACAGAAATAGCCATTATACATATACTACGCCCAATATACAGAAGTTGCCATTACACATATAAAAATTTAAGCTGCGTTACGCAAAGCAAAGGTTGAAAAACTAGTTAAGTAGGTCAGGCCACACGCTGCATCAACTGTGGTAGGAACAGCATTAGTAGAAACACAACCATTGCCGCGTGGTCGCAAGTAGCGCTAAACGCATAACAAACAACGTGACATGTCAACACAAAGACCACACGCTCATATACTTTATAAATATTAACCAAACAATAGTAATACTACTGTGGACTTTCAGACCAAGTTGTGATTAGTTGGTAAGATACCACACAGTTCTTACAGTGAGCTGGGGCTTTGAACCCGTAACTCACTGATCCAATCTTGTTTAACTTAACCACTCGGCCTTCGATAGTAAAAAAAAATGTACACATCCAGTTGACCAGTACACAGTGTGCATCCCAAAATGTATTGTAAAACACACATAAAACAATCCTGTAATACATGAAAGATACACACACATTTTATTAAGAGTGATTATCATATTAGTAGACACGCAAAATGCTCCCAAATACTTCGCGCAATACAAAAATACACTACGAATAAAGAAAGATGGTGAAAACCTGCCGCGATGCACCAATTACACTATAAATGTTGAATACAGTTAAGACATCTAATATTATTTTACGTGTTATCGATAACGACAAACTTATGAGTTGATGAATGTTCTGGTGTACGCCCGAGGACCAGACGCCGTGAATGACTCTTCATTAGTTACATATAAATTTAAACTTTCTACGTTATGGAAAAATAACACATTAGAACGATAAACAACTACAGAAGGTGTTAGATATGACGTAAAAAACAAGGGTTAGATGTGAACAACAACGCTGACACAACTCAATAATAACTTATTTTCCACCATACCAACCACATCAAAATACGACATGAAATTTTTCGCATAGTAATGTAAAAAGCTTTCCAGATACCGAACATGAGATTTTAAAGTCTGAACACATATCCAGCACACGCTACACTCCGCTACACGTTTCTACTGGAGGTAGAAGCAACCTTACAACCAACTACCACGCTGCTTGAAGCGATGCAACCAAGGCAGGCTTCAGAAGCACTCGAGGCTCCATAAATCGAAGGTTAAGCCATTAATGAGCCATCGGCAAGGCGGTATAAAATCTTCGCTTTAAATAACAAGCATTCTACAACTTCAACACAAGTTGATATCTATGCATATTTCTCAACTTCAACTGACACTGAATTTATTATCGTTAGTAAATAATCAATCCCCCATATAAGGGGTAATATAGCCCCTCTTTGGTTTACATTGAAGGAAGACATGAATTAAATTCGTGTGTACCGAACAGCCAGCGTCCAGAACGCATGTCGGGGCTGCGGTTCCAACGATGTAAAGCCTGCCTTGGTGGGTGCACTGCTGTACGCCCCGATGTTTTGTTTGTAACCTATAGTATATTATTAGTTATAACTCTGGTAGGAATATCATTACAGTCTGACATTATTTCCAACCCTGGTAGGAATATCATTACAGTCTAACATTATTTCTAACTCTGGTACGAATATCATTACAGTCTAACATTATTTCCAACCCTGGTACGAATATCATTACAGTCTAAGATTATTTCCAACTCTGGTACGAATATCATTACAGTCTAAGATTATTTCCAGGGATCGGTAAAACCCGAGTCTGAATTACCGAAATACTGAAAGGCACATAAAATGAATGACAAATACGCCTTATTATTAATGAAAACATTTCACAGAAGATACGGTGAATTTTTGGGTAACTTTGTTATTAAATTCTTATAAGTTCAAGATAAAATCAAGCATTTAATACTAAAGACGAACAATTGGGACGCGCAGAAACAAGGGGACTTCTGAGGCGGTGTTGTCTCCAGTCCAACTCAAGCTACAACTCAGGTAGGAATACCATTACGACACAGAGATGGATAAGTTCAGGTAGGAATACCATTACGACACAAAGACAGATAAGTTCAGGTAGGAATACCATTACGACACAACTATGTATTAATGGTCCACAGCAACAGCAGGCTACCTGATGGAGGCGGTCCTTGAGGCCGAGGCGCTGCTGGAGGCCTCCTCAGGCGTTGGATCACCACGGCTTCTCAAAACTTATCTTACATAAGACCTCGTAGTAATAATAATAATAATAATAATAATAATAATAATAATAATAATAATAATAATAATATCATAGTATATCGTGAACCTGCTCTTCATGGCATGTCGTGGATCATAGACATGGTAAAATTCTTCACAGCCAGCTTGATGGTTCGAACCTACCACTGCAGCCCGAAGGCAATAAAATTGTACACTTCGTTATCTTCGCAGTCGCAATAACTCCGAGATATCCATTGATAATGCAACGTGTGATTCCATGATTAATATCAGATTATTATAATTAAATGCAGGCTAAAAATCCCCTAAAAATGAACGATTTCCTCAAACTATCTCGAAAATAAACATCTTTTTTCAGCTAACAAATATTTTAAATTTAACTTGATAATGAGCAGATGCTCAATTTAGCGTGTGCATTTCTATTTAATTAAAACCTTATTTATTTACTTATTATCAATATCGTCGTATGTTTTCCTGAGATTTTGACACGAGAAAAAAGTGAAACGCAATGAAAAATAAAACTTTATTTCTCAGCTGCACCAAACATAACACGCCACGCATTCAGGATATGAATAGAAATCTCGTCCTCTTCAGATCAAACAGAAACTTGGAAGAAAAATAAGTAACAAACCGCTGAGAAAAACTGCAACACCCTCTGGAAAACCTGCCAGAACCAGCGGAAAACTTGCCTGAACCACTGACAACAAATTAGAACCACTGAACAAGTTAGAACCATCGATTCATTGATGACGCTAACAGCTAACACCAAAAGCTACACTGGCGAAGCGAGTTTATGCACAACAACAAACATAATTTTCATTTTCTGTAAAGGCAAATACTCGAAATCTACGGTGACCTTTCCTACGTTTGATCATAAGTTGCGGCTAGACCGCATGATGAACACAAGAACTTCGAAAACGATAGAAAACTGGAGTTGTGAGCATTACATTTACAAGATGAGTAGCGATACTGTCTTAGATAGTTACATTACAATGTCTATATCACAACAAGAAGTTAAAAATACATCACAACAACTAGTGAGATAAAGTGGTAAACTTTTAACTAGCACCAACCTGTGAACACATCCTATAGGCACGACGGCATCAATAAACATCCAATAAGATGTACCGTATATAACACAACACACACGTGTGCGTTGTGTTAATGCGAGCACAAGACACAACATGTACACATAAAATAATAGGCAGGTCAATGGCGCTCCTCTAGCTGCCCCGCGCTACGCAGCGTTGGCGCCGAGCAGCCCCATGTGGACGGCGTGTAAACTCTGCGGGGACAAGCTGGTCATATAGCATAGCACAACATAATAACATCATGTAGTATAACATCATGTGGTATAGCATCATGTGGTATAGCATCATGTGGTATAGCATCATGTGGTATAGCATCATGTGGTATAGCATCATGTGGTACAACATCATGTGGTATAACATCATGTGGTACAACATAATGTGGTATAATATAGTAATATATGTAGTCTTGTAAAGAACAACCTTTCCATACATGATGGCACGCAATGAATGACATCATGCGTTATAATAACATACATAGCATGCGGCTACGTATGTTTTAGGATAGAAGACACGAGTGTGTAGCGTATGCGTTGCCGGTACACGCCTATGCGGGGTGTGCCTAGACTGAGCATAGCAAGTTTTGCGTGGTTTTGAAGCCAAAATAGAAGGAAACTTTTCAAATCCTTCAATTTTTATACGTTTAATGAAAAAAAATAATTATATAACAACTTTCTATGAAAATCCTAAAATGTTAGCAAAACGCATAAACAACAGCACATACGCTATAAAATATACGTTTTATATACTCTAACTTATATCATATACGTCTTATAAAGTAAAAGACATCACATTATCTCAATGATGATGAAATAATGAACGGATGTATGGACACAGCAGGTCAACAGTGCCGTATTTAAAAACCATTTAAACATACTCCTGTATACTCGCATTAAGACTATAATTGCTACTGAACAGAACATGTGTGGATGGCATCACATCTATGCGAAGTGTATAACACACCATTAGACATATGATCTTCGGAAAAAAATGAATTAGTATAATACCTTCCTATCATATATGGTTACCATAAACTGTATTCTTTTTGAAACAGGAAAAACAATAATTACCTATATTTTACAAAATAGTGGAGACTTTATTACCGCAAGGGCGACATCTAAGTTACTGCACCGAACCCAATGATAGTCACTAATAATAATAATCTTAATAATAATAATTTTAATAATAATAATCTTAATAATAATAATCTTAATAATAACAACAGCGGTGAAGGCTAACACGAAGTCACCGTTCACCAAGAGACGCTGGTCCACATCATCATAATTCATCTCTCTTATCTCTGTGCAACATAGACTCATGAATAGCTGTTGAATTCATGCCAGCTTCTCAAGATAGAACTTGGAAAGACATCAATTTATCTTCATTGAAGTTTTAAATCATCAAGATAAGAACTTTAATTACCTAAGATAGAACTTTAAATCTATCACGATCGAACCTTTTAATAATCAAGAGAGAACTTTCAAATAATCAAAAGAGAACTTTTAAATAATCAAGATAAAAGTTTCAAATAACCAAAAGAGAACATTCAAATAATCAAGAGACAATTTTAAAATAATCAAAAGAGAACTTTCAAATAATCACAGTAAGACCGTATAATAAGAATTCAAGATATAAATTTACGTTATTATCACAATAAGCTTGCAGTGAAGGTTTATCCTCATGCTCCCTCGCATCTAAATCTCCCAGTCCCCGATTTGTCCGTACTAACGAGCCTCATGTCCGACCTACACAATTTCACGCAAGCCTACCCCAATATGTTCGCCTGCAAAGCCCTGCACTAGGATCATAGACCCTGACATGGCGTTATGTCCATCCATGCAGCATAGCTGGACTCGTGGATATATCCCGTGAGCATTTATTCCGTACCTACATCCCCAGTCACCCCCTTAATATGTGCGGGTAAACACTTGATGCTTAGCCATCTTTGAGTCCATACTTCCTAGATAAATAAATATAGGCAAGGAAAATCGGCCCGAATCAACTATTTACACCGTATACTTCACTTATTGGTGGATTATTTACATCGTTTACTTCACTTATTATTGGTTGATTATTTACATCGTATACCGTAAAATGGGGTAACTTAGAGCGGCGGGGTAACTTAGACCACTTTTCGTTTTTTTAACAAAAACCCCCACAACTCAAAAACTATTTGACATAGAAAAATTTTGTCAATGGGGATTAAAGGCCTAATACTGAGGCCACATAACACAATAGAAAGATTTGAAAAGTTTGCATATTTAATAGGTTAGAAAATTAAAAATGTGACCCATGAAAAAAAGCTATTATTTAAAGCCTGTCAGAGTACCCCCTCCATTTTTTTTATTTTTTGGTTAAATAACTCCAGGTTTTGATGCATTGTAGTAGAACTCTAGTTACATATGCAAATGACAAATTTTAGGAAAGTGTCATAGTTCGCAAATGGAGGGCGCCGCCCCCAAATGGGGTAACTTAGACCACCTAATGTCAGCCCTGACGGGGTAACATAGACCGGCTTGGAAGTTAATATAAAATTACCATATATAACATATTTTATGTTTGACAGCCTATTTATGTTTTTTCTTTAGGTTTCAGACTCTACAGAGTCTTATATATGGTAATTCAACTTAATTTCCAGGCCGGTCTATGTTAACCCTGTCAGGGCTGCCATTAGGTGGTCAGAGTTCTCCCGTTTGGGGGAACATAGACCACCTGGGGGGCGGGACCCCCCATTTGCAAACTATGACACTTTCCTCAAGTTTGTCATTTGCATATGTAACTAGAAGAGTTCTACTACAATGCACCTAAACCTGGAGTTATTTTACCAAAAAATATAATTGATTTTAACACCCAGTCTAAGTTACCCCAAGAGCTGGGGTAACAAAGACCATCACTTTTTTTGAAATTACATAAAGACTATGAGAGGCAGGAGCCAGCAATTTATGGTGAGTGAAGCTAGAGTATAGACCTGTATTTTGCATGTTTCAATTCAAGTTTAATTAAGCTAGTAAAAAAATGGCATCATTTATAAAAAAAAGTGGTCTAAGTTACCCCATTTTACGGTACTTCACTTATTATTGGTTGATTATTTACATCGTTTACTTCACTTATTATTGGTTGATTATTTACATCATATATTTCACTCATTATTTGTGGATTATTTACATCGTATACGTCTAACAGCCTACACCTCAAGGTAAGCAAACGTAAATTAAGATCCTCTCATGTAAACAGGTACCTGAGAAATAGTTTTAGGCCCAGAGTCATGCAGATGTACCACCTTCAACGCCTACTCCCAAGCAATAAAACTAATATAAAAACTATTCAAAATTATACTGAAGTTTCAAACCTGAGCCTCAGCTATGGCCATCTCAGGGCCCTTGTACCACTGTGCTATCCTGAAGCTCACCCTTAGCAAGCTCACAACGAAGCTTCTCGGAAGAAGCTCATGTTAAAAGGGCTGAAATTGCAGGGAAGATGATGCTGTATATATTCAGAGTATCATATCTCTTTACATGAAACCATGCAAAAGGGAGAGACTAATCAATCCATTAATGTAATCTCATCTGGAGATTAATGTTATTTCCAGCCTTGAGATTAAGGTCATCTCCCCTTACAATAAGGGTATTTCCTTGAAGGTGCTCCACGTTAAAGCTTTCTCCCCATAGGATAAGGTCATCTCACCTTACAATAAAGGTGTTTCCCCTTGAAGGTACTCCACGCTAAAGCTGCCCATAGGTTAAGGTTATCTCACCTTACAATAAAGGTGTTTCCCCATGAAGGTGCTCCACGCTAAAGCTATCTCCCCATAGGATAAGGTTATCTCACCTTGAAGTACTTGACGGTCTTGACCTTAAGCTCAAGCGTGGCATCCTCATCACAGAGCAGGAGGGTGCGCGGGTGCTGCTGGAATGCTGACACCGTCCACATGTGGTTCACCCCTTCCTCGATGGCCATGTGCAGCGCGTACGCTTTGTGGCTCCCCGTCACCAGCACCATCACCTGTAACGTCATCACTGTTACACGCATCTCAGTAAACGCACATGGTGTGTGGTGGTCACCGTAACGAATATTAGGACAATTACACATTTTTTAGCGCATATTCTCATTTATGGAAAAAATGCGCTATTGTGCTCGCCATGTCCGTCTGTCTGTCCGTCCGTGACCTCAAGTTTTCATCGACGGGAACATGCGCTCTCTGTCACTCACTGCTGTGAGTACTGAGTTATATTTTTTACTTCTTATGCACATCCTACTACAGTACTCCCAGACACGATCGCCCAACACTGACGATTAAACTTTGCCCTCAGAAAAGAATGAAATAGCGGCATCTGCATTGTTTGATATCGCAAGGCGATTGGCAAAACTCCATTAAATTAAGCGGAATAAATGGAAAACGTCATTCCCATTTATTCCTATTTGTTAAAACTGTTTGCATGAATAGCTGAATGGGTTGACACACGCAAAAGTCAGTCGTTGGTGGACCAATACAGGCTTACTTGCCTGCTACACAACAATCAAGAATGACATAATACTTACGCTTCAGCGAGGCAGCAGCTTAACTCGTTGGCGTCCATGACGGCTCACCTCATTGGCGTCCATGACGGCTCACCTCATTGGCGTCCATGACGGCTCACCTCATTGGCGTCCATGACGGCTCACCTCGTTGGCGTCCATGACGGTGCCCACGCCCACGGTGAGCGCCTGCTTGGGCACGAGGCTGAGGTCGTCGCCGAAGAAGCGCGCGTTCGCGGCGATCGTCTCGACGTTGAGCGTCTTGACGCGCGTGCGCGACACCAACGAGGACCCGGGCTCGTTGAACGCGATGTGTCCATCCGGCCCGATGCCTGCCCGAGCAAGGGGTTAGTAGAGGGTTCAGGGCACTAAACGGCCCGATGCCTGCCCGAGCAAGGGGTTAGTAGAGGGTTCAGGGCACTAAACGGCCCGATGCCTGCCCGAACAAGGGGTTAGTAGAGGGTTCAGGGCACTAAACGGCCCGATGTCTGCCCGAACAAGGGGTTAAGTAGAGGGTTCAAGGTTTCCTGCTTGCACATCCTTTCCTGGTCGGGGGTTATAGCTCTTGCTCTCACTCCCATAAGGGACCCCTGCTCTCCCCCCCTAGGAACCCATGCTCTCACCCCCCATAAGGAACCCATGCTCTCACCCCCCATAAGGGACCCCTGCTCTCACCCCCCATAAGGGACCCATGCTCTCACCCCCCATAAGGAACCCATGCTCTCACCCCCCATAAGGGACCCCTGCTCTCACCCCCCATAAGGGACCCCTGCTCTCACCCTCCATAAGGGACCCCTGCTCTCACCCCCCATGAAGAGCTCAATGCCCCCCGCGTCAGCTATGAGCTTCTCGTAGTTGTCGCACTCCTTCTGGAGGTCCTCAGCGTTGCCATCCAGGATGTGCACATTGACAGGGTCGATGTCAATGTGCTTGAAGAAGTTCTCGTACATGAAGGTGTGGTATGACTGTGGGTGGTTGCGGGGTATGCCTGTTCCATCAAACACACATTGAAAGGTCATCATAACTGAGTATGAATAATTGATACTATAATATTAATTTTATTAAGCTGTTTTAAGGAAAAAATTGCAGAAGGGATTACATTAATTATCATTACCCATAACCCAGGGAGTTAATGTGTGAACATCCTGGGAATAACATTTTTGTATTTAACCTTTGGTTTATTGAAGGTAACTCTCATGACCAGGCCTTTAGGTAATAATAGCATTTTTTCATGATAATTAATGCATTCGCAAACAACTTTTGTGAAAAAACTCAACCTATAATTCAAACTTCATATTAGCATATAAAGCTTCACACAATGTTCATGTATTTACCAAAATATACCTATAGGCTATAGATGCATCACCAGTGACCATGGCTAAAGTAGGAATGGCTCAATAAAATATACCTATGTAGTATGGTACTGCATATACATGGGCATATTAAGAACACAGGCTAGGATGGCATCATGGTAGGAGTGTACGCATTAGACATGCGCCTGCATACCGGGTACTCATCCAAGAAGGTTTTGACAAACTTGCTAAAAATAGGAGTGGGGCACATACCAACATACTCGTCCATGTTGAAGGTCTTGACATACTTGAAGCTGACTTTACCAGCCTTGTGATACTCCACCAGCTTCTTGTAGGTGCCCAGTGGTGTGCCCCCTGTAAGGTAAAGCTCATGTAAGTATATTGTAATTCATTTCTCTAATGCTTATGATTTACTAATTTACTTTTTGGCAATAAAAATCTTTTACAATATGGAAGTACTTAGACAATAATATTTTAACAAGAATTCTGTATATACAAAATTACATCCAATGTTTCTACTGAATTTTTTTATAAATCTCAAATGCTTTTAAAAATTTAATGAATGATTTTGTATCAAGGTTCAGCCTAATACCTTCTTACCATAATAGCAAATCCAGTAAAAGGAACCTTAAAAATCTAATAAGTGATTAATAAAAACTCTTTTCACTTCAACCTTCAATAGTGTTTTATTGGACAATTGAAAATATACTTTATTAACTCAACTTGAAAACTAATTCATGTTTCATTCTGTTTAAAATAGAACAAATGTTCATGTCAGCAAATAAGAAGCATTTGCAATGAGAGTCTTGCTGACATCAAAAGATGATTCTGAAATGCAAACAAAAGCATCTCCTTGTAGCATATTATGAAAATTCTTTCAATTTATTCTGGATAATGCATATTACAATAAAGAAAAATATAAACTGCCATTACCTGCCATTCAGGTGGCATGTTGCAAGCAACTCACCAGTAGGCAACCCGAGAACAAAGAACTTGTCAGGTCCAGGATTGAAGTCGTTGATCCTCTTGGTGATGTAGCGAGCTGCCCACTCTGTCACCTCAGCTGAGCTCTCTAATATAACTAAACGCATCCTGACTATCTACTTTTCTATAAAAATTATCTGAAAGTAACTAAAATTAATCTGAAACTGAAAATTTGTAGTTATTTACCAGGCTGTAAAGTAAGGCCTTTTAGCTTGAGATATTGGCATATTTTCAAGCTCTCCATCAGCCACCTCAAGGTGAATTTGGTGTCCATAACCAATCAAACTATGAATGGACTGATCAACACCTCTTTCACTGCGCATTACTTCAGCTTGTTGATTGCTTGTATCTGTCACCCAATTGTATTGCACATATGTCTTGCGCGCCTGCAGCTACTGTCAAATGAAGTAATGAGGGATAGTTTTGAGCATTTTTTTGTTAACATCTTCTTACCATGAAACATTTCATAAATGAGTTTGGGCTCATATTAAAGATCTTTGCAAGGGCTATTGGATGGCATCTCCAAATCCATATGCAATTGGTAAGGTGCCAGACACAAAATAATAGCCTCCTGAATTACCCCTGGGAATGGGGTAATAAGGGAAACTTGAAATAAAATTAAATTTTTAAAGTTTGAAGCATGCAGAGTGTACTCATCCATTACTAACAGTACTCTGATGTCCTCCTGTGCCTTTGTAGATGATGTAGATGTATAATAAATGATATTTTCTGCAATTTTTACTTGCTTTTCCTTATTGATATGCTATTACCTTATCCATACTTTACTGTACCGTAAAATGGGGTAACTTAGACCACTTTTTTTTCTATAAATGATGCCATTTTTTAATAGCTAAATTAAACTTGAATTAAAACATGCAAAACACAGGTCTATACTCTAGCTTCACTCACCATAAATTGCTGGCTCCTGCCTCTCATAGTTTTTTTGTAATTTAAAAAAAAGTGATGGTCTTTGTTACCCCAGCTCTTGGGGTAACTTAGACCGGGTGGTAAAATCAATTATATTTTTTGGTAAAATAACTTCAAATAACTCCAGGTTTTGGTGCATTGTAGTAGAATTCTTCTAGTTACATATGCATATGACAAACTTGAGGAAAGTGTCATAGTTTGCAAATGGGGGGCTTGCCCATTGACAAAATTTTTCTATGTCAAATAGTTTTCGAGTTGTGGGGGTTTTTGTTAAAAAAGCAAAAAGTGGTCTAAGTTACCCCGCCGGTCTAAGTTACCCCATTTTACGGTATTATTGATGTGACATTACTATATCAATGGACATGCTATTGAGCATTGACAACAACCATGTCCACTTCAAGCTTCATATCAGCAGTCATGTAGCATTTCTTCTGTGTCTGTAAGCTTACAGAATGGCTTGTAATTTAGCACAATTTCAATTTGGTCAAGTGATTTCACTATACAAAAAAGATCGTAAAAACATACCTGGAACAGAAAGGAATATTTTAGTGACAACCATCATATTTTTGGAAAAATAAATGAAAATTTAATGCATCATCAGTCATCACAAAATTGTGCATATAGGTAATATCATAGATAGAATTGAACATGGGGCAACACAGACTAAAATGTAATTAACCTAAACTATGGTTTAGGTTAATTACATTTTATTCTATGTTGCCCAGTGCTCAATTCTATCTATGATATTCTATGCACAATTTTGTAGTGACTGATGATGCATTAACTTTTCATTGAGTGACATTTTTTACACTGAGCAACCTGAATGCAATTGAAATTCTTTGTTGTCAATTGATTTTTTGTTAACTGGAGCTTTGCTAACCAAGGTTCTACTGTAAATGCATTTTTAGGGTTGTCTCTTATTACCCTTGGAGGGAAGGGGGTGTCCCTTATAACCCCGTCTTGCCAAAAATTGCTGCATTTTGGGGGGGGGGGGGGTTGGGCTATGCAAAATCTGTCAATCACGTTTTTAAGCTAACACCTGTGACCTGTGTGCAACTTTTATAAAGTAAAATTTCTTAGCATAACAAATATTTTTTTGCTTCAAGCCTTGGCAGAGGTACTTTTAAAAAATCTCACTCGAGCACTTTTTTTGAGGGATTCTTTAGAGGTAGTGAATGTATGATTTCTCAACATTTGTTATGCTACATAGATAGTAAAAATGTTGAAATTTATGCCACTATTTTTAGTTTTTCAATATTTCAATTACTTCAGTTGCTGCAACATTTCTATGAAATGTCAGAGGAATGACCCAAATTAACCCACCCGCCTCTTATTACCTTGTTTGATGAATTGATGGTAGTACAAGTATAGTTGATTTATTATTATTAATTACCGTATTATTTTCATTATTGACCAATTATTATCTTCATTATTTATCATTTAACTATTTGTTCAGGTTCAGCTATCATTGACATTTATCTATGCCTTCTATGGTGTAATGAATGCATCAATCATCATAAATTCATTGTGATTGAACAAATTTTTCTTGGAACTTGTTGAGAAGAAGCATCCCAGTAGCCAGTCCCCAGATATTACTGGAGACGTCTGGAGTGGGGGAGCAAATTCTTAATTGATAAAAACATTACTAAGGTCTGACTCTGACCGTCTGAGGTCTGACTGGTCAGCGAGGGCCTGCCACCTGAGGTCTGAGCCTCTGACTCAGACTCTGAGGCGTCAGACTGTCAGGTCAGGGTGTATTCTTAACAAGGTTAATTGATTGAATAATATAAACAAATTAGGTTTACTTAAACATCTTTTAACAATTACAATTCAAAATTTCAATGTAAAAAAAAATAATACATGGCATTTTATTAACAAGGATATACTAGTTACTACCTAACTTACTACTAGTCTAGGGTCTAGGCCCTTCGCCCTTAGGCTACATTTTTTTAACAGGGTCATACTGTTCACTGGAGAGTGGGTTGCTTATTCTCAACATTTATTAACAAGATCAAAATTTCATTGTTCACATACCTTCTATTCTATATATCTTCGATCTACATTCAAGTTTTCAACACAAACAGTAAAACAAACAAGTGTTTGAGGTCACCTACGACTACGAGACTTACCCAGCGGCCCAGCCCATACGTCCAGTTCACTGAAGAGTCCAAATTGGCCTATTGTAGGAGTCCTACAACACCATTAGTGAGTTTAGTAGGATGTGATGATTAGTTTGTGAGTTAATCATTCGCGAGGACTTAGGCCTAAGCCGTAACCGGGCGTAAGATTCAACTTAAAAATGAGAGGCTATTGAGAGCCAAATCGCGACTTTTCTATGCATTTTGGAAGAAAAAAAAACGTTAAAAAATAACCAACCTTTATCCTTTAACCAATACGGGTTTCAATTTTTGTAATGGTAAATGTAATCACCAAAATGCAAAACATCGCAACTAAAAATTGCTGATAACTGATAAGACCGTTGACCCTACCAGCGCATTAAAGGATCACAGCTGTCTGTTGTCATGCCAGTGCCCAGTTATTAGCGAGATATATTTCTTGCTATCAGGGGAGTTAGACGAGAGGCTCAAGTAGTCAGCAAAAACAGGTACACAGAGACTGGAAAGGCGACTTGCGCGGTAACATGACAGGCTTATAGGCGAAATTTTTACTACAAATTTCATAACGGTTTCAGCGTTTATTAGACCGTAGGCCTGTCGCCGATTCCCAACAATACAGAACATCCACAGCATGTTGCGGGCTTAACTCGCAACTCGATGCTTCATAGTTTCTTTGCTGAACCGCCCGGCCTCCTTGCCAATTCTAACCAGAAACTGGCGCACAGAGCTGGGAACGAACCCGCACCTCTCTGCTCCAATCTTGGTACTCTGAACTTTAAGGAGAGCGTCTTGGTCCAAAATCGACAATTTTGGCTTTTCCTGTTTTTAGTCTCATCTTAAAGCTGGCATTTTGACCTATCCAACGGTACCAAAACCATCTCTGTACGTTGATTTATGCGTACACGACGATCCCGAAAGGGTGGGGGTTGGGTGAGTTCTTTTACATTTAAGATGGGGAATAATTCCCGCAGTGCACTATAAAATACTTGTCTACAGACATTTAGCTCCAGTAACCTTGCTGCAGTCGTACGGGGTGGTTATTGCGCCGTCGCTCGTACCATCCTTGACAGAAATTGAGCTCCAGTATCGTCTAGTTTCATTCCTTGCAATGTTGAATGCCGACGTCGAGGCGCCCGGGACTTTGTCGGGCTCAACTGAACATTCACACTTATTGTCACTGGAAACCTATTTCCTCCTACAGTTTCGAATAAACAGCAATGAGACATATACCATACGAAAAATGCTCCCACACCCACAAAAATGGAAATTTCAGAAAACGCCTTCTGCAATTTGTAGATATGGTCTTTACGCATCGAATGATATGTGTCTCGATGCCGTAGCTTGAAAATCCTAGGCCCGCGGATATTTCTACAGTACCCCCTTTTAATTTAGTTTTCTAAGAATTTCCCGTTTCTTTCATTTCTTTCGAAAAATTCACATGAACAAAAAAGTCTTAGAATTCCGTTTTACATACGTGTATTAAATTTCGAAGTGACCCGTCCGTAAATAAATAAGTTTTTTTTCGGACCAAGACGCTCCCCTTAATTAACGACTAAGCCAATCTGCTTAAAATATTGATATATATTTATGCACATCAAATGTTCAAATATGTTTTTTTTTTCAATTATTCGATCAAAACCGCACATTCTCGACCATTACAGGACTCGAACCTGCAATCTTCGGATAAGAAGTCCGACGCCTTCTTCATTAGGTCACACGGCCAGTAAATACTCAGTGGAATAAATACACAATACACAATGTATGCATCGGATGGAGGTAATATTATTTTCATTTTAAAAATGTTTTCATAGTTTTTAAGAAATACCGAAATGCACGAGTCATGTCTTTATTAAATGACTGAAAATTTTCTAAGCTTAGTTGTTAAATAAAAATAATAATAATAATTATATAAAAAATTATAAAATAATAGCGACAATAATATCGATAATGATGAGTCTAAAGAAAAAACATAAACGCAAGCTAATTCGTCCATCAAAGTTCTTGGACTAATCAGACTTGGACTAATCCTAGATGCAGAAGCGATGAAGCAGTTGCAGTTGCTGTCGTGCGCCCGAATCTAGAGTTTGGAAACGTTGTGTGGTCACCGAGATTTAAAAATGACAAAAATATATTGGAGAATGTTCAAAGGCGAGCAACAAGGATAATTTCAGGCTTGAAGGGCAAGTCCTATGAAGAAAGATTAAAGATTATGAAGCTTCCAAGCCTCAGTTATCGACGTCTGCGTGGGGACCTCATTGAAGTGTAGCGACCATGTTTATATATTTCCTCCAGTTACCCCCGCAACTCATTTTCTGGGAACGTTGCTAGCCTAGTGAATTCTAGCAGAGTTACCCATCAACTCTAACTCAACATTATCATCATGTTACTGCCTTAAGCATCATTATCAATTAGCAACTGCAGTTGATATTCTGTTAAATATGATTTAGCTACATATGCATATTATTAGCACTGACCTAAGACGTTGCAATATTAAGTAACGTCTGTAGTAATAATCATTTACAAATCTGTAATACAGCGCGTAACTTGGTCTCCAGACCTAGTTTCAGTAAATGAGGAGAACTCCTACTGTGTTTCATTCCCCAATACGAAAGACAATTGTAAGACGCTGGCGCAGTCTGGTCTCTGACTTACACGCCTTAGCCGAACCACAGGGCGTTTGGTACAACCAAACGTTTGGCAAGAGTCACAGACCTTAAGGGACTCAATACCGCGCTCGCTGCTAGCATTCTCACGTCTTACAACTGGTGACCCTGAGCTCTCATCAGAGTTCACCCACTCCTCGCACCACTCTGCACTAGGGCAACGATCGCTACGTTGCGTGAACGGAAGCTGCCCCCGCGCGGAGCCTGCCAGACGGTAGTCCTATACACTGCGCCTCACTGCTGCGCACAAAGAGGTTTCATTCACGTGGTTCTCCTCGACACCATGCTCGGCACAACTGCAGAATCTCCTACCCTGACACCGGTCAGGCAAGCCACTTCAACCGACTCCCACACAGACCTGTCAACCGACTCACCGTCTGTATCGGCAGTTGCACTGAAGCTGCCACAAATATGGAGACAGGACCCTTTTGCCTGGTTTGCATACGCCGAAACAAATTTCAACCTACACGGCATCACACGAAGCCGTACCAAGTATAATCACTTGGTGTCTGCTCTTCCGTACGAAGTAATAGCAGAAGTGCGGGATATTTTGTGCTCAACCGAAGTCGAAGACCCATATGGTTTAATGAAACAAGCCATAATAGATCGTACCGCGATTTCCGAACGCGAACGATTCCGGCAGTTACTTTCTAGAGAAGGCCTTGGCGACGGTAAGCCATCGCAGCTTCTACGTCATATGCAAAGCCTACTCCAGCACGACAGCAAAAATTTCGACAATAGATTACTACGCGAGCTTTTTACGCAGAAACTTCCCGTCGCGATCCAGCGTGTTTTAGCGACGATGCCAACGAGCACGGCACTGGAGACCTTGGCAAGCGTTGCAGACCGCGTAATGGACGTCGACGAGAACTGCATTAATGCAGTACAAACATCGTCCCACTCGAATCCCCAGATACTAGACTTGGAAAAGAAAGTATCTGACCTTTCGGACCAAGTCTCAAAATTACTCGCCATAGTGCAGAAAAACGAGGACAGATCATGTTCCCCTTCAAGAGACCGCCAAAGGCGCGTGCAACACTGCAGCCCTCAGCGACAAAACAATTCCACAGCTTCAGGTCAGCAGTGTTACTACCACAAGAGTTTCGGAACGGCAGCACGAAAATGCGTTTCTCCTTGCAACTATAAGGGGAAACGAGAGCCGCGAGTGATGACGACGACCACCGCTCGCAAGCGCCGAGTTTTACGACTCCCGGATCGTCACACTAACTTGAACTTTTTAATTGAAACCGGTGCAGATGTTAGCATACTTCCAGCATCTACTACCGACCGCTCGAAGCCACCAACGTCACATCTCTACTCAGCGAATGGATCATCCATACCTGTTTTCAGAGAAAAGTCGCTCACCTTGGATTTTGGCCTACGACGGACGTTCAGGTGGGTGGTTTTGATCGCAAATGTGAAACAACCTATTCTAGGCGCCGATTTTTTACATCATTTCAACCTCCTGGTCGACTTGAAAAAGCGCGTTTTAGTGGACGGTACAACCAATTTGAAAACAACTGGTGACCCCGAGCTCAAGAGAGTCTCCACCGTCTACAACCGGTGACCACGAGCTCTCGAAAGAGTTCACCCCCACAATTCGCTCCACTTCGCACGGGGGCAACGATCACTTCATCGAGTGAACGGAAGCTGCCTGCCACACGGAGTCCGCCAGTCATGCAAACTGGCGACCCGGAGCTTTCACCAGGAGTTTACCTCCCTCCGCACTGGGGCAACGATCACTGCATCGCGTGAACGGAAACTGCCCCTTACTGCCATGCGGCTTACGTGTGGTTGACAGCATCGTGGTGCAGCTCGTACCTGTACCCTTGCTATCAGCTTTTATGGTTCTCTACAGTTTATTAGGACTCTTCAATATTGTACCCCTGAAGTTGAGATCCTGTCTCCCGGAGCTTTTGGACTTATAGTGAATAATAAATTGTGTGCCTTGTACAGTGGAATTTATGTATCGCCTGAAGATCACCAATATACTACGAAAAGTCCCTCGTGTTCATTCCTCCTGTCTAAGTACTTATATCATTAGTCTGCTTACATCGCAAGTTCACAAGGAATTTAAAAGCAAAGAAAACGCCAAGAAAATTCACCATATCGATATTGAAATCGTTTCGGAGTCCAGCTCCATCATCAGTTCGACTAAACTAAAAATGAATTATTAGAAATTTAATTTAGTAGAGATTTTGAAATGTTAGAATTTATATTTAAAATTTCCATCTTTCTTAAAGTGAAGAAAGAGTTTACTTCGCTCCGTACCTTTGATCTAAACAAAAAGAGACGAGCCTAGATAGCCGCCGGTTTTGCCAGCGAATCTTGCCTCTATTAAATCATTAAATTTCCTCTTATATCATCAACCTCCATCATTTGCATGCCATTCTCTAATTAACTTCATTAGTTTCCACAACAGCAGCGTTGGAAGTAAGGTTGATGGTGCGGTCAGAGAAGCATCCTGTATGACCAACAGGCCAAGCTATTGGATTCTCATTCAAAAACTGGGGTCCATGCTTCCAGAATTCTAACTTCTTTAGCCACTCGGCTGCAGTTACGCCCCTCGAAACCATATCAGCAGGATTATCAGAGGAGCAGACGTAGCGAAATTTAACGCTGATTTCAAACATTTCTTCAACATCCAAAATTAACTGTCTTACGTCTCTGACTCGGTTACGAGCAAAGAGGTTTTTTGAGTTCACTTTCCCGGACAAAATCCAAGAAAGGACAACTTGTGAATCAACACAAATGAAAATTTCACGCAAATTTAAGGTGTTCAAAGATTTAAGCAAGTTAGAAAGGCATTTCAGAGCCAAAAACACGGCTAACAATTCCAAGATCGGGATGGTTTTGGCTTCAAGTGGGGCACTTTTGCCTTTAGCAAATACTAAGTTCGGTTTACTTGAAGAACAAGTAGATTTCAAGTATGCACAAAATCCATACATGACCTTAGACGCGTCAGTAAAAATAACTAATGAAACTGGATCTTTGTCTTTTGCAACCATACGTTGAAATGAAACCGAATTAAGCTGCATTACATTGGCGGTAAGCTTCTGCCACCTGCCAAGCATTTCATTACCCAAGGGCTCGTCCCAACCAACCTTGCTTAGCCAAAGATCTCTTAATAAAATTTTACAGCCAGCAATGATGGGGAAGAATATGCCTAAGGGATCAAACAGTTTTCCTAGGAACGATAAGACTAGTCTTTTACACGGGTTACCTTGAGGAGGAGTAATTTCAGCAAGTTTAATTTCGTCAGTTTGTGCATAATAGCGATAACCTAGCAATTTCTCGTGATCAGAATCGTGGACCGCGCCAGAACCGTCGCTGGAAAATAATGCGTTAGTTGAGGGACAATTTGATGACCATGAACGTAATTCAAATCCACCTTCCCTCATACGTTTACAGGATTCCCGGTACAGGTCGCACAGCACATTAGGATCATTACCGGTTATTACCAAATTATCCACGTAAAAATGGTTAGCCAAGAACTTTGAGCAAAGATCAAGCGGGTATTTGGCAACGTGCAATTTAATAATATAATTCAAGATAAATGGCGAGGACACAAATCCAAACACCAAGGCTTTGTAACGATAAGCAGCAAGTTTACCATCTTCATCATACCACAGCACAGAGAAACGGTTTCGGTCAAAGATCGATTTAAGTTTAATTTGCAAAAAAGCTTGCTTTATATCAGAAAGCATTAAATAGGTATTGAACCTCAAATTTATCAAAAGGAAGAATATGGTTTGGAGCAAATTTACGCCAGGATAGGCACACTGATTCAATGAATGCGAACTTCTAGTTTTGAAACTGCAATTTAAAACTGGTCTTACTTTTGTGGTGACCTGGTCACCTTGTCGAACCACTGGACGATGAGGTATCCACGTGTGATCGGCAGTGTTAATTTCCTGTAAGTTAATCTCCTCCAAGATATCGTCTCTGATCTGNGAAGTTGTGGAATCTTTAGCTGGGGAACGCAAGGTCAGCGTTTTAATTACGTCAACGTAATTAGTGAATATATCGTCAATGCTTGGGTAATTGTTGCCGACTTTGCGCACCATTTCTTGCCGGACAGGCATAGGCAACTTGTTAAAGATTATATGAGAAATGAAATGCTTGCTAGCATTTTCTGCCAGCAAATCCTTATTGTAGACCTTCAAGTCGGCAAGTAAACACCGGACATCATTAATGAATAATTTGGTCTGCAAGAACGTCACATCAAATTTAGGCTTACTTTCTAAGAGTTTCTGATAAAGCTCGCCAATCAAAGCTTCTTTGTTCAAGAATTCGGCTTCTAGTAGTTCGAGCGCAATCTTATAGTTTTCATCTGTAATTTGCAAATGGTTTATCAATTTAAGTGCATATCCTCGCAAGTAACCTTTGAGATAAGTGAACTTCACGGAGTTAGACAGAGAGGTTCGTGATCCAATAATGTTATTAAACTGGACAATAAATTTATGGTATTCTAAATTATTTGTTCCTTCCCCTGAAAAATTATCGCAAGTCAAATGAGGAAGCTTGAGGTCATGGCTAACCTCGTTGAATTTAGGTTGCGGTTTTGAATTCAATTTGTTAATTTTAGTTTTGATCTCTAGGTGGTAAGAAGTTTGATTTTCTAGTTCACTATCAAGCTGCGCAGAAATTTCATCACTAGTGCCTGTGAGAAGTTCAGCATTAATGGACTCGTCAATAACGCTCACCTTGTTCAGCAAATCATCGAGAGTTTGCTTCAAGGAGTCTGAGGAAACATTGGCGCCGCCTTCCTTACCGAGAGCAAGGGTGATCTTACGCTTCAGCAATGCGCGCTGGCGCACGAGGTCGACGCGAGTTACAGGCATGGCGCTGCTTAGAGGTCAATTAAAGCACAAAATATAATAAGCAGCAAATCCAACGGAAGATGAACCCAAACCGAGCAAAGAATGAACTATCATTTAAGAACTTATTTTGGTATTAAAACTAATTTCAAGCTCAACGGATGCTCCACTGTTTATTCAAATTTGAATACAAGCAAAAGTTCAGCTTGGAAACCAGTTGACAAGACGTGGATTAATGTTTCGGTCAGGTTCAAGTCTTCGTTGCTTAGAAAATCAATGGAAGCAGTGGACGAATACGTGTTGGTAGCACGTAAATGCGCGTGGGGGGACGAGAGGGAACAAAGAGGGACGAGGGTCCTAAGACGCAAATCTCGGAGCGGTCCTTAGTTTCAGGGACATTTCCGGTGAAAGAGAGTAATGCTTAGGGCATAAAAATGGGGGAAATCCGTTGCAATAACGACATTTCTTAGGGAAAAACAGGTAATTTTGGAAGCAGAATTATTGTTATGGTTTTCGTTTCTGAAGAATATTATCAGAGCAGATACCAAGAAAATATTTCGAGGCAAAATAATAATAATATATTATTATAAATACAATACTCAGGGCGCCTTGCACCAGCCATGCCATGGCTGAGAGTCCCATTCAGGTCATCTGCCAGTCTCCAGCCGGGCAAAAAACTTTAAAAGTTATAATAATAATATTAAAAATAATTTTGGCCGGAGCGTGTACCGAATACTTTTTGGCGGAGTAACAAATAAGTAAAAATTAATGTTAGCGGTAGTCGACGAAAAAAATTGTGATGGAAAATTGTTGTTTTTAAAAATAGCCTGCACTAAAAACTTGTTATGATAAATGATGCCGTGAAACAATTTTCCTGAAAACCGGTAGTTAAGAAAATGTTTGTCATGCAATAGCGGTAAAAAAAATTTAGGTAATAATAATAAATTATTAATAACTAATACAACCTAATAGAAGTAAAAAAAGCCTATACAAAAAATATAATTTCTGCGATGGCTGCATCTTTGTATAATTTATACAGACGCTACTTTCACCTGCACTTGATGGTGTAAAATAATCATAATATATATTTTTATCATTTGATTATTTATATTATATATATATATATAACGACATACATATTTCAAACAAAATCATGCCTAAATTCCAACAACCGCTCAACTTAATTGCATAATCCCGAAAATAATTGTAATCCTGTATTTATTTTCACAAGAGACTATTTACAATTATGCGAGATTCTACAAGAGATTATTTACAATGTTATAAAACTCAAGCATAAGTTTGAAGCAAACTTCCAACTTGAGTTGCAAGCTGAGACGCGCGGGAACTTAGCTCCGAGGTTGGCCAACTTGAGACAAAAGCCCAAGTTGAGCTAAAGCTTGTTTCGATTTTTTTTTTGTCAACTTGGACGATAATCCGAGCCAGCGTTCTGAGTTTGAAGTGTTTTTAGTTTGTAAACTATATGGAAATAATAATGAATAATATTATAACGGCATAATATTGAATAAATAGAATGAATTCTCGAATAATTATGGAAAACCAGATGAATATTTACTAGTTATATTAAAAAATTGATCAATTGTTACGAATGAATAAATGAATTATTGTAGCATATTTTAAAAAATTTTTATTACTTAGTAATTGACGATTAAAAAGTTTCGATAAGATTTTCGGTGAATTATTCCAAGAAGCTTTAAATCATAAAGAATTATGTATTTGGTACAGTATG